TTGAATTCTGGATTTTGAATTTTGACCTTGCATTTCGTCCAGAAGACGAGACTGATGCTATTTCACATTTATTTTGGCGAAGCATCTGTTTGCTTTTCTTGCGCATTCACCTGCAGTTCATTGTTCTAGCAAATGTTTTGAAATTCCGTTGACCCCTGCCCCTGGGGAACCACTCCAAAGAGCTAGTTGTTCATTACAAGCTTTCTGCCGCTTCTTATTTGATGGGATGTTCAATTCCATAACATGCGAAGTACACCACTAAGACTGAATTTCTTTTTGAGGTTTGATCTTGGATCGATTGATTAAGAGCGTTTTTGTGATTGTGAAAAACTCTGAAATCAGGGGACAAGAGCATTAGCAAACTACATTAACATTAGCAAACATTTAGACAACCAGCGAGGTCTTCTGTTTTCTTTTCAGAGAACAAGCTCTGTGACGACTTCACTTTCATTCATGTTGGAAGTGTACGAGTTACTACTTCATTTCAAGGGCAACATCTCTGTCTTCTTCAGAACTGTGAATTAGTACCACTTGTAGTGTGAATGGTGCTGTTGATAGAGATTCGTATAGGGTTGTATTTCTGTTTAGTAAGACCTCTGTTAAGTAGTATCTCTGTAGTTTTTAGAGATAGTAGCATTTCTGTTTAGTAGATATCGGTGTGCATTCTTCGATAGGAAAGCTGCCGCTCTTTCCAAGATAGTGCTGCTGCACGAGATAATTCGAGGCCTCGAAGAACCTGATAAGTGGGAGAATATGAGAGAAACTATAGATACGAAAATTGGACTCTGTGGCCGTCCACGTTAATCGATATTTGTTCTATGACGATAATGAAGGGATCTCCATCTTATCATCATGTTTTGTTCTACAACGATTATCTAATCTACAGCTTATCTCGTACTTCCACGACCCTTCGATTCTAAAAATGTTAGTACCTTCTGTCGCTCATCTAACGCTTCCGCGAAGCGCGATAGCGTTATCGTTAATTTCCTAATGCGAATCAATTCTGTGCAGAAAATGAAGTCTTCTGATAATCAAGATGTGATGTTCCTGTGCCGTGTGTCGTGTTCGTCTGTGCAAATAAGGCCGTCGAGAACAACCTGGGAAATGTAGGGTTTTGTTCTTATCAAGAAGTAGACGAGAAGATAATGAATCAGTGATATTGTGTATGGACATTCCTTAAGAAAATCTGAGTTTTCGTTTTGATGCTTAATGGGGTATACTACTACACAAAGACAAAGCATTCTGCTAGAACAGCTAAGTAATACCTTCTGTACAACTACCGCAATCTGCTCCACCACATCCGGTGACCACCCAACATATTGGTCACCGGATTTTCCTCGTCAGGGATTATTTCGCGCTGTCCCATGTGGCCGAGGAGAGCCAGATCCTCTGGGATTTACTTTCGCCTTCTCTTGTGGTATTGACTTCCATTCTGGTTTTGCCTTCCCGGTTGCTTTTCTTGCCTTTCTTTCTGGTCTTGCTTTTGCTTTGGTTGCTTTGGCTCTGCTTCTGCGGTGGGTGCCGATGGTGCGGATGTAGATGTGGACTCAACCTCCTTTAGTGGTACAGTCCGAGCACTTACCCATTTGGGCTGTCCAGAGGCGACTCGTGTAGATGTCCATTCCTTACTAGAATCCCCGCGGAACATGCGATGTCTTCCACCTTGTCGTCCGCCAGATCTACCTGGTCCAGCTGGGCCTCGTTTTGATGCGGCTCCTTTTTTATGACCTACTTCTTCGGCGGATGTTGCAGAGGGTACACGTTTTCCACTGTCTGCTGCGGGAGCTGCGCCTTGATGTGCTTCGCCAGGTGGGCCAGAAACTTCCTCTGCGAGTTTTGCTATTGCTGATTTGGTTTACATTAAAGAAATGATCACTTCTATTGTCGTCAGAATGTCAAGTTTTCTCTAATCCGAATAAAGTTTGGAGGGAAAGATAGATTTCATTTCATCCTTCCATCCTAGCTTCATCTATTCTTGTACATCTCTTGGTCGTTTGACATCTCTGGTCTAACATCTTTCTCAATACCTTCGTCCTCCGTCTCGATCTCCTGCGGAAGGGGAGGTGGTGAGCTTGATGATATTCCGTCGTCGGCTTTCACTGGTGCTTCCTCTGGTACAACATAGCCCGGACAATCTTTGCCTGATGTTTTGGATAATACTTAGTGCTTGCAGTAGTTCTCTTTCTCAAAGACTTTGAAAGTAGATGAAAAATTTGGGGATGAAGGGGAGTACAATGTGGGTAGTGCAAACACTATAATATATTGGCATGTACGTAGTTGTACACTCGTCTTCCTATTGTTCGTATGTGTAAGTATATCACTACCTGTGAGAACTTGGAGTGCGCCGAGTGCCGTTTTGTGCCACTGATCCGTACTATCCAGCTCCTCCTCTCGGTCTTCCGGCTTCTGTTGCTCTTGATGTTTCGGGTCTTCCGGTTTCTTAGCCAGGTCCTGTTGTTATAAATTGAAGAACTCAACATGTATCAATGAAACTCTGTTGTAGTGGGAATGAATTATGCACTAGCAGAGGGTTAAGAGATGGCTGACGTTGATTCTGTTAGACTGACTTACTCTGATTATAAATAAGAAACCACTTCTCTGACAAAATAAGTAACCTTCATTGATCTGATACATAGACATTGGAATTCAATACAAAGAGGAGATTTAAAGGTGATAAATACCTTGTTTGTGGTGGGATCTTGCATCGCGCGAACTACTTGCTTTGCAGCAGCCAGAAATTTCGACCACAAGTGCGCTTCGTCCGGAACGAACTGTATCTTTAGCGGTGTCATGTGAAAACAAAGATCTCAATCGTGGACATGGGGTATTGAGCTATATTAAAGGTTCAGTGTTGTGGAGCGATAAAAGTTGATGAGAGGCTGAGGTTAGGTCCACGTCGAATCGACCAACGTCATCAAAAGTTGATGAGAGGCTGAGGTTAGGTCTAGGTAACAACACATGTGGACAAGTCTTCACAGCCTCTCATCAATTACATAATTACGCTTTTTACGTATGCGTCTTAACTCAAATCTCTGCTGGATATCTTAGAGTGTGCTTGATTCCATCTCCCTGTTTTGCTCACTTTGCTACTAGTCTCCCTTACTTCCGATGAATTTTTCACAGATCAGAGGCAGCAAAATAAAGAGGTTAGCAGGGGAGGTGGAAAAACGCGTACACAACATAAGGCCTATACTCCGTAGGGCTCTCTTCTTCGTCCGATTAGAGGAGAAGCGCATTTGATTCCCTCGACGTTCCCGTGCTTTGCTGTTCTTTCCCCTATTTTGATACTACCCTGGAACGAAGTTACGAAAACGGAAAAATATTGCACATAATCCGAAAATCCGCTATTGGCGCACACCGTTATGGCTTCGGTCGCCATCGCGTCGTACGCTACCGCCAAAAATTCCTCTACTTCGCTGTCCGACAGGTTGTCGAGTTGTTGTTTGGTTAGCACGTAAGGCGTGTAGGCCTCGAGCTGCTTCTTTACCCCGTCGGTGAACGAGCCTTCCTTGAAGACCTGCAAAGCATCTCCTTTCTCACCTCGGAAGAGGTGTATTCGAGGTGTGGTCAACAAAGATGGAGCCTGCGGACCTAAGTGGATCTAGATCAAAAGAAAGGACTCAAGTAGACCAAAAACTAAAAAAGAAAACGAACTTCAATAAAAACGAAAAAATTAAAGTTTCTCCGTCTATGAATGAATTACGATTTTTATCCAGATGCAGATTACACACTTGAAGTTAAAGCTTGTTTTAAATGTCACATTAATATTGATCTTGCATCAAAGCGGCATGGTAGCCTTAACCGCGTCCAAACACCTCGCATTGCCTTCGGCTTCGCCACTGTCTGCAAGCCCACTTTTACGAAGTTTAGGGCCTTCGAGTTGGCCTATCTATCTCGCATATCTATCCTTTTCACCCATAAATACAGGAACAGCTGATTAGTTTCATTCAAACGCTCCACCCAGGCCAACTCTCTTAGCCATCAGTCTCTTTTCTATACATGTAAGCACATACTATTACACAGGCAGAGAGATGCTTTTCGAGAGGTCAACGTGCGTGCCATAATATACCCGCGATGTCCTTGGGCTCCTTAACGGGACGAGCAACCGGAAACCCTGCGCGAAAAGACTGATAGACATTGTCGGAATTGATGTATGTCGATTTGGAGACGAGGTTTGCGTCTTTACTCTGATGAAGCAACCGGATCATAGCTGCAGGGATTAGACAGCGGGTGTCCTCAAAGACACGTAATTGATTCTCAATCTCTAAATCTATTGTTCTTCACCAATCACCATTTATTTGCTGGAGAAAATCGTTCATCAATTCTATACATCTATAAAAATGCCTATGCCTTCCTTCGCAAGCCATTGCTCCCAGTAGTGAAAACAGGAGCAGCGGTCGCAACTTGCTACAACTGCATAAACATGATCTATAAATCCTCAATAGACAGGTATTGAGGTGCTACAAATGTAGCAAAAGTAGCATGCTTCGCTGTTATGATGCTGCCGTAATGTGACCATTGTGTCGTAAGCGACGCGTGCGAGCACTGGAGGAGATCCTAGTGCCCTCACGAGCTGCGTTAGCGTTTTCTCCTCCACTATTTTTCCACCACCATCCGCACCATGAGCATCACTATCGCCCTCTTCCTGCCTGTCCCCATCGTCATTCTGGATTATTCCACCACCCGTGACTACATCTTTCATGGTTTTGGCAAGGTACATGGATATCCTGGCACTCTTGGACCACGCCTTTTTGCATTCTTCTTTTGTAATTGCTGCTTTACCAAATGCACAGTTTCGGTGGGATATGAGAGCAGAAAATTGTCTAAAGTGTAGTCGGGTCTTCTTGCGGTTCATTGACCTAATCACGATGGCGTTTCTGGAAGCTCCAATAGTGTTAGTCTACCGACGAAAGGACGACGTAGTTGTAGTTTCAAGAACAGTCGTGTACTACTATCATTACCACTTGCACACAACAAAAATCCTACATAATTCAAACAAGACGAATGCAGCTGAAGAAATACAATACAATGCAGCCTTCAAATAAACCAATAGCCATAACTTCTCCTTTATTGCACTCTTCGAAGAAGTTCGACCAGTGCTGTTGAAACTTCTCTTTCAACTCGTCTAGAGCTTTCTTTTTGTCCCCGCAAATCTCTTCCAGGTCTGCGGCCACAGGTGCAGCAGATGGATTAGCGCTATCTTCCAGAGTCCATCCACACTGACAATTATACCATGTACGATGAGTGGAAGAATGGCCCATGTACGAATTAAAGTATAGGTACCTGATCAGAGGTTTCCAGAGGGATGGACTAGCGGAAGCCTTAAGAGGATTTGCAGGTGCGGTTTCATCTTCCCTCTGCTTTATTTCTGCTACCAGTATGCGACGATCACCCAGCTGCTCGGGGGCGACGCGTACTGCTTGCATTGGCGGGGTGGGCGGACTTGCTTCTTGCTTCTGAGGACTTGCTCGTTCCTTCTGTTTCTGTAGTCTTTCTCGTCGGACTCGTGCTCGCTCTGCTTCTTCTTCCGCTGGGGTCGCGTCATGACCATGTCGGATCGTCGTTTTGGTCTGCGCTGATGCTCGATTTACCTCTGCCGTACTTTCGGTCTGTGTCAGTACCTGTTTCAAGGTGGGATGCATTGCCAATTCAGTACTCAGAGGTCCTACAAGAAGTGGAGGAAATCAGGATCATCTTCCCAAAAAAGTACGAATTTCCATATTTGCTTAGAGAAACAGAGAAAATTATAACAACTCGGATTTATAACCATAAAGGTTTCATCTCATAACTAAAAAAGCTAACGATAAGCAGGTACATCGACTCCACCTCCAGAATTGGAGAGATTCGTCTCCCTATACTGCTGAAGCTCATTATAGCGGACGAGAAGTTCGGCACGCTCGTCAACTAGGAGCTGGCAACCCTTAATCGTCTGCCCCTCTTGTCGATTCTCGCTGACCTTGCAGTCCTCCCAAGTGCTGACACCATTTAGCATCTTCTCCAACTCGAAAAACCTCCACGTCGCCTTTTCCCGGTCTATTCGACCTGCCCTTTCTCGCTCTTCTTGCGCTGCTCTTCCAGCTTCCTGACTTAGCTCTCTTGTTCTGCCTCGTGGTCGTGCATGTGTTTTTTGCAAAAACGCTCCACTTTCATCCTCATGAAGATGTTCCTCCTCTGCCACGTCTGTCGTTGGATAACCAACGAAGCTTGTATTTGTTAGAGAATGGTAGGTACATCAACAAAAAACTTCTCTACGTAGGATTAGGATTCGATCCACCATCCACAGTTTTACCTGCATACTCAAGCGGATATGCGCAGCCGCAGAAAGACTGCCAACACTTGTGTAGGAGATGATCTATACTATGATGATTTGACTCTTAATATATCGCCATCAGGAGCTACGCTTTGCTGCAAAAATGCATTCGATGGCGGATTCCCAAACGGGTCGCTCTCCCACACACTCGATTCTGTCTCGTTCCCGCTTGGACTTTTTTAGAAGAAAAAATAATTCCGGTATGCTTCAGATGAGAAGAAGTCAATCTACTTTCTAGCGAGTCTATTCTAGCTAATGTGGAACTAAAAATGTGGTTTTAGTTTATGTGAAGTCTTAATAAGCTTGTAAACCTGAGAAAACATTTCACATCTTTAATAACTGTTATTTTTGTTCTTTCAGAATCAAAGAAAGTATTATGAAAACACCTCGACCTCCTTCATTGAGAGCCTAGCACGGAAAGAAGAATCAACTTTGGATATTCCTAGACATAAAAAATGCTGTTTGTAAATTCCATAAAAGATTTCACTCGATTCGCGAAAGCGACTCGGACGCCTTCCGCTTACAGCGAGGAGGCCGCAAAAGCCTCCTACAATTGTTCTCATGACTGCTCTCGCGTAGTGGATAGGATAGGAGTGGATCCACCTAAAGGAGGTAGGCGGGCGAACGCGGCCACGGATGAGCCGCTAGCGATGATACTATTCACTACAACTTCTAGCCGCTTCCCTTATGCCTGGCCGCTGTTACAAAGAGTCCGGTGATCCTTCATTTTCTGTCTTGTTTTCGTTCAAAATAAATAGCGAGTCCAATTATTTTCAACACAACCTGGGTCGAGTATGGGCTAGCCTGTTTTGCCTAGAGCGTGCCTAACGCCTTCAGAATCACGGGACTCTCACTCTCTGACGTAACCTGACACCGCGATGGCATCCTTTTGAGCATCCTTGCCGCCTACTTTCTGTATTCATCCATTCTTTCACTCCCGTATTTGTACACTTTTTTTGTTACCTGGATCTACAATTGTTCTCGCGTCCATCTCCTAGTTGTAGGGCATGACAGATGCAAGGATAACGTTGCTTGAGCATGCACTCTGCGTCGAAAGATAAGAACTCTGATGCTACTGAGGAACATCTTCTAGTGCCTGGGTGTTTAGCCTCAGAATTTCATCTGATCTCAATACTAAATATGACATATTCGACACACGACAATGTACATGAGAAACTCGTGTTGGCTAATCGGGTGGTCTATGACGTCTACTATGTACATTCCCCTTCTTGGTAATCATGTGTAAATTGTCTTCCTTGTGTAGACCTTGCTAGTAAATTGTCCCTTCTTGGCACATGACATTCTTGACACACGACAAGAATGGGTAAATAGTGTTCAGCTTGATCTGTACATTCGATCCTTAGGATGAGGATCAAAAAAATCAACATTAGTCAACTTAATACGACGTCATTATTTTTTTCTGTGTGAATTTGACTCATGTGATGCACGTCTTGTTCGCGTTCTATTAGTAGTCAAGTACATTCGTCAGATTTTTGGCATTACAAGATTATCGGTTTACTGCTGAATCTCGTGATGAAAATTGAAAAAGGCTTTCATCTATGAATTTGTTAATGACTCTTAATGACTTTCATCTATCACTATCGTCCAATTCTAATAATCTGGTTAGTTTCACTTATTATTTGGAATCGTAGTCGTGGCTCGTTGTCAAAAATGAAGAATAACAATAACTTATAATTTCGTACTTCTGATACTGATACTGAATGATAATGATAACATAAGAAAGGATGGTAATTTTGCGAAGAATGAAGGTAGTAAGTTTTCTTTTTAGGCAGACCCAGGCACTTTGTTCACAATTTGTTGTTGAAAAGAGTAGATAGGGAGATCATAAATTCAAATGTTGCGACTTGAATACTGAAACATTAGCAAACGACGTTTTCTGGAACAGTACGATTTCTCGGAAGGACATACAGTCATTTTTTGGTCACCTGGTCTCTTTGACAAGAGTCTTGTGTGAGTGGTGTTTCCGAATAAAATGATAGTTGATGACTGAACAAGAAGTTTCGAGATTGACGGAGTAGGAAGTTTTTGTGCTTGCTCTCCACCTGGAAGAAAGTAACTTCCTGAAGTTGGTGCTCTGTGTGCAATGTCAGACTGAGTCAACACGCTGCTATCGACTGAGTCAACACGCTGCTATTGACTGAATCAACACGCTGCTATCGACTGAGTCAACACGCTGCTATCGACTGAGTCAACCACCTGCTATCGACTGAGTCAACAAGCTGCTATCGACTGAGCACTAGGAAGCTGACGTTACCTCCGAGTGAGCAGGAAGCTGACGCTACCTCTGACTGAGCAGGAAGCTGACGCTACCTCCGAGTGAGTAGAAAGACAGCATCACCTTTGGTTTAGATTGAGCGGGATTCACGCTTCAGCCCTGCGCATGATCGCTACCTTGAAGTTAGTAGACTTCTCCTCGGTTAGTAGACTTCCCCTGAGAAAGTTCTTGTGGTGAGGCCCTCAGTCTAGGAGCAAAGCCCTCATTCCTAGAAGAGCCACAGTCGCTGAGCATCCCTGACTACTTCTTCAGGTATACTGATGACTTCTACTCAGATTCAGATTGAGGCGCGCTATTTTTCCTCTCGGTCTCCTTCATCTCAGCACCTTTATTTCCATTCTATCCCATTGGAAGAGGGTACCGAGATGCGGAGAGGACTGGGCAAAAGCTATTAACCAGAAACAGAACACCTTCGAAAGGAGAAGAGTCCAAGTTCTTGACGCCATTTAGCACAAGAGTAATACTTTCCAAAGAAGAGACACTGAGCAAGAGTCAACTCATTCAGCACAAAAGTAATAGTACTTTCGAACAAGTATGTAAGAGACACAGAGCAAGAGTCGACTCATTCAGATTCAGACTCAGTAGACAAGTACCACTTATCGATCGACGTTTAACCTTGACATCACAGGCAGACGTGGTTGAACCTATTGAAAAGCCAGAAACACATCAACTACGTCCTAAAGCCAAAAACACAGCTACTGCTGCAATTACCTTTTCCATTGTGTATATTTTGTCTATAGAAGCAAAAGCACCAGTGCAAGTAGTTTCAAGCAGTGATGAGTTAAATACGCATCAGTGCAAGTAGTTTGAAGCAATGATGAGTCTTCCTTCTCCGTCTTGTTCGGTAATCCGTACACCTGAATTGACTCCGTAGTGGAGATCCTAATTGTCGCGATCTCGCGGCACCATCCTACTACACGATCCCCAATAACATGTGAAAATATTGGACGGTGACTAATTAGTAGACAGGCATGCCCCTTCTTGACAATGTTAGCAACGCCATTGAACTTGTTGCTCTGGACGATGCCAATATCGCCTACTAGCAACGCCGTTGAACTTGTTGCTCTGGACGTTAACAATATCGTTTACTAGCAACGCCATTGAAGGTTAGGTTAGGTGTGGGCCCACTAGGAAAACTAGCATACGTCAGTGGCTCCTGAACAAGAGCCAAAACCCCTATTGAGCCTATTGTTCACATCTTGTTCACTTGTAATAGAATAGAATAGAATAGAATAGAATAGGAATCCGTCTGGCTCTGGAGAAGTCGTAATCAGGAAACTGTAATATCGAACACAAGATTGATGTACTTCATCAAAAATGAATACTTTTTAGACATCTTGTTCAGAAACACTTTAGTATAGTGGCACTTTTACTATTCGAATTGTTCTTCCAGCCACTTTAATTAGCTTGTTGGGTAGTGACCACATCGTCATTCAAGAATTATAAATCATAACGGACTCTAGTAGTGAATCAACAATTTGAAAGTTTAAGTTTGTTTCGAATTAGACAGGAGAGGACTTTTTTACCACTAGCTATTGGATGAGCATAAACAATTCGGCAATCTTCAAAACTTGATCTTTTTCTGGACTGATGCAAATATTTTCTGGACTGATGCAAAAAAATCGGAAACTTGCGCTGTCGTATCCGTCGATATTTTGAACCTGTAGTTGCGGTTAGATGTGATGGCGGAAAGAATACAGATTAAAATAAAAACTCTATGGTGATAGTGTACTAAAGGAATAGATAAGCTGGCACTTGGATGATAGTGTACTGTAAAGGAATTCAACTTACAACAATGAAAGTATATTTCATCTGGTTTTCTTGGTCAGCCCATCAGAGAGATCGATTATTTGTTAGTACCTGTACAAGCAGCAGCGTCATTTTTTCAAATGTTGTCGTATCTTGTTCGTCCTCATCGTGTTGAACCGATATCGTGTTGGGCCCATATCGTGATAAACCTACAGAATATTGGTAAGTATACCATTATCCTGCTTGCAGCATGTTGATAAAGGAGGTTGAAGGAGTGTTATGGTGTCACTAGGGAAACAAGCGCTGATGTCTGTTCGGACGGTCTGTTTGGACGATTGTGTCCGAGTGTCTGTATGATGTTAATCACAGGTAAATCTACGCGACAGCAAGTAAATCTAAATGTCAGTAACTGCACAAGCAGCAACTGTGTTGTCTATGATGATGTGTCAGTACCTGTGCAAGCAGCAATTGTGTGCAGCAAATCTGATTTCTCCTGATAATCTTCTGCAAGATACATATGTCGTCGTGTGTCGTTCTTCAATATATGTCGTCGTGTGTCGTTCTTCTGTGCAAATAAGGCCATCGAAGACAACCTGAGAGAAGAAAAAAAAAGTAGGGCTCAATAAAAGTGGTGGAGCCAACCTAACTAGGAAAAAATCAAGAAAGAAGAATATCAATAATTGAAGGCGCAACTTTATAGGATAAAGAGTAAACTAATGGCCATGCTTATTAGGATCCGCCTATCATAGGCGCCGCGTGTCGTCCATCTACCCGATCAATTACAATCAATATTATATTTACAAGTATTCTGAAGGTAAGTTATTACCTCTTTTCATACAAGCTGCCTAGTTGTTCAACACCAGACTCGTTGTTTAGTATGTCTTAGTTCAATTTAAATGGAGTTGGATGAACAGAAAATGAAGTTTGTTCTTTAGTTGGTTCAATTTGATTGTAGTTAGAATAAAAAAAGTAACAGATGAGAGAAGGTTTGGATAATAACAAATCAAAGGTAGTTGAACCAGGTCTACCTCCATTAGGTTAGAAGTTCTTGTAAAGCCTTCTATAAGTAGTTGTAAAGTACCTTCTATACAACTACCGCAATCTGTTCCACCACTTCCGGTGACCACCCTCGACCACCACATTGGCCACCGGATTTCTCCTGAGCCTTAACTGGTTGAGGACCTCCGTCTCGCCCCCACTGCGGCCTCTGTATTCAGCTGCTGCTCACTCTTGTGGCCGCCGGCTCCATCGTAGAGCGCAGGGGCCCCTTGGGCAAGACCTGCCGCGGCTTGATTCACGCGTTTTGTCGAACTCGAAGCAGTAACTGGCCCTTGCTTCGATATTAGAGCTATTGGAGCTATCGCATTCGCGTCCTCAGCAGCATCGTTGACCCCTTTTCCAAATCAATGGGAAAAAGCCACAATGATGGCGTCGAGGATGTGCGCTTAAGGGAAATAATAGCCTTAACGCTACTTGCTCGTCTGCGCAGTCCTCTGATTTGATTTGTAAAACGAAGCTCAATTGAAGGATAAGCTACCCACCTTCTGTCAAAATATTTCTTTGCTGTTCTGCGTCATGGTTTCGTTTTCCAACGAAGACACATGATGTCGGTGATAAAAATGGCACTTGGAGAAATGTTGTCTTCGCGAACGCGTAGGAAACAATCTATCATTGTCGCCAGCAAAAGAAAATGATACCCCGAGTGGCGACAGAGTATGCTTTGGACGCGGCGTTCCACCAGGATTCTTGCTTGTCATAGAACATTTTTGAGCCCGTTTCGTCGTTTACTCCCGCAATCTAAAAAATTGAGATATAATTAGACTTCGTAGAGATGGTCTCTAAGCATAAAGCAGTTATAAATATACTATATAACTATAGAATGTCTCAACAAATCTGACATTTGTATTTCTCAAAAAGTCTGGGGATGATCTCAGTCCCGTGCACATGCTTCGAATGGTACCATTGTCGTTTCGTGGTGCGTCTTCTTGCCAAAGATGTCTCCCGCGTCCGTTTCGCGGGCTGCGGCATCGCTAAACTTACGCCAAAATGGTTCTTCGTAATCCGTCGCATGGAACGTCTTGGTTAGAGTTCTAAATAGATCGTGACTAACGACGGACCACATGATCGGAACGAGTATTGTTTGCATCTCTAAAGCGAGCGCTCAACAGGGCTCGATATGATCGCGCAGACTAATAATTTTGCTGCAAGGAAAATGAGAGATTTCAAACATGTTCGCAAGTGTGCCTGTCCTTAATATCTGAGAGCCTCCGCCACGAGCCGATTAGAATGTGCTTGATTTTTCCATTCTCGTTTGATCCTTTCGCCTTTCCTCATTCTATGGTGATCACGATGTTGCGTAGAATGAACTTTAACTAAACTAGAATTATTTTGATTTCTTATCTTCTTGATCTCTTCACGGATGTAAGACGCGAACAGAGGGTGGTCAGAGAGATGGAAAAACGTTTGCACATAAATTACTTCGTTGCGGGGGTGTCCATATCCGTCGCGCTCCCGGTTCCAGAGTCTCCCTTCGGCGCAAATCCTCATTGCGGCGATCGCCATCTCATCGTAGGCCACGGCCGCAAGTTCTGCCATATCCAATTTCTTCCATCCGGGTACCGTATCCAACACAGCCTTCAGCCTCAGTTTCAGAAAGATTGTCATCGCCACTGGTTTCGAATTTGAGTTCTTTGCCGCTTCTACCATTTCCCTCTCACTGATGATCCTGCGCCCCTCCGCGAGCCTCCGTTCATTCTCCCGTTCGTCGCGAGCCTTCTTACCGTCGGCTTTTTCCTGACTCCATCCTCCGGCAGCCACCATTCCTTCATACACTCTTTCCATATTCGGCTGCGATCCCCGATAAAAAGTTCCTCGAGGAATTTCCGGCGGCTCCCCCTTGAAGAAGGCGTGATATTGGCTGATTGGTTCTCTGCCGAGGAAGAGAAGTGACCAATAATCCCGAAACGCCTTTTTCACCTTGTCCAATGTTGTCTCAGCTGAGTCGACGTTTTTCGAATTCGAAGTTCCGGAAATCGCGTGGAGTGCATCGCGAAACGCCGTGTACAAGTAGTTGGCGTTGCCCTTCTCGTCGGTATTTGTCTCGAACTCAGCGCCTGGCGGAAGAACTATCTGCTCCAATGCCACGCTGATTAGAGCCTACAAGGTTTTTATTACCCTATATCAACAAACAAGCCATCCTCATGTTTCAGATGATCCAACATCCTCGCGTTTCTACTGAAAGGGGGATCCCTTGTTTTGAAAAGCAATTTTCTTGTGGAAAAGGGATCGCGGTGAAGGCTCGATGCCATGATGCCTCAACATACCGTCCCCGACAACAAGCCGAACAACAGCTGAATGACAATGAGGTAAGTAAAACAATAGAATAGGGTATATTTAATGAAATTTATCTATTTTCTGATGACGCCGTAACGTACTCATTGCGTCGTAAGCAATGCGTCCCAGCACTTCAGGCGATTGCAGTGCTACCAGCTGTTTCTTCGGCCATCCTTCCGGGGCCTCCCCAGCTTCCCCAGCTTCTATGGCTTGACTGCGGACTAGTTTTTTTGTGGTGTCGCCGAATTTTTTATCCATGGCGATAGTGAAGAAGACGGGCTTGTCACATGGTTCGTCCTGACACCCCAGCTCGTGGATGACTTTTTCCACTTCTTTGGAAGTACTTCCATCCGCGTCTCAAATATTAGAAGCTGTAGCGAAGGCCCTTGCGTCAGCCTGCCGCTACATCATGCATGAAAAATTGTTAAAGTTATAAATACCGTCTTTTACTCTGAAGTGGCAGTCGCCGCAGTGTACGAGCAGAGATCACTATTTTACAAACATCTTCCTCTCTCACTTTCAAGCAAATCAAAATCTCTGTAAAATATTTTGAAAGTCTTCAACGAATTCTGGTGGGAAACGAGTTCATGAGATTTTTACAAAGTAGAAACCAATTCACATGACCATAAGGCTACTGCAACGCGTGAAGAAATCGCTCCAATGCTCGTGAAGCCATTTCCAGACGCTGTCCAATGCCGACTTGTCTACACAGCGTGGCTCTGGTGGACCCGCTGGGTAGGGAGTGGCCACGTCCTCAGCTGCAAACTCTTGCCCAGCAGCCTGCGTTGCCGGTTCCGATGAAGGCGGTCCTGCCTCAGCTTCTGTCAATGGGTCATTCTCCTTTGACAACTTTTCGGCATTGCCTGCATCCTCTATTTCCCAACCCTGTTTTGGTCGTGTGGTGAGGAGCATATCATTATCAATCTGTGTTTCCATGACGTTTTACAAAAGGAGGCGACGCGTTGATTGGAGGGACTAACCTAGGATGAAAATGAGGGAAAACTAACCGACACAAATGTTGAAAAGGATATGATTTTTTTGGGATAATTTATGGGATATCTTACCTTCTCGTTGTAGAATGCGTTCGCAGCCTTTTCGAAAATAGACCACAGATAGTCCTTTGCTACTCCAGTCTCCGTCATCTCTGCTAGAAGGAACGTCTCTGGCCCCTCCATTATTTTCGGATTGTCCGTATTAGACGTAGAATTTGAAGGAGTTCAATTTTGTTTCAACCATATCAAAAGGTCAAAAAATAGGAATTCTTTAAGTCTTAAGCTGCTTCCTCTGTGCTGTGCTCTGCGGCTCATTCGCTTTCCACAAGGATTCGAAAGCCACTTCCGCGAATGCGTTGTATCCTGCAGCAGCAAGAATCTGAATCTTTGCGAGTGATTTCGGTTTCATGTGCTCTTCTACTTGCCGATGAACAAGAAATGCAGCCTCCGTTACCTCGCTAATCCAGCCTCTGGGATCGACACATCATGAGAGAGCTGGGGAGGATGATGGTGTATTTTGATTTTAAAAAAAGAGTATACATAAATCTATTGCAAAGATTGGTTGACTAAATTCAAATTGATTGAGCCGCAGCCACCTGGACTTAGAGTTGCAGTTCGGATCAGGTAGCACTTTGTGGAATAAGTGGAAATGTCAATAAGTGGAGAGCATAAGTAGCACCACACGCTCTAGGGAGGTTACGACTACACATAAATGCGTTTTGGTGCTTAGTCAATATCATAAATACCGATTGAGCGGGATGGTCATAGTCTCTCTTGCTGCTAAATGTAATTCACAAACAAATGATTTGTCCCATAACTTGTTGCTTTTCGGATACCGTGGAGTTTTCGAGCCAGTGCCAGCGAGTTCGAGTTGGAAGTACTTCTTCCAACTATCTCGTAATATCTGCTTCAATTTTGAGTAGCTTTGAGGCGTTATTGCACTCCCGGCTTTTCCCATCACTTCCACTGGATCGGCTGTGCGCGCCGCTTTCTGGCTCTCCGTCGAGGCTGCGTTATTATATTCGGGACACCAGGCAAAGGCCGCACTCATGAAGGTAGGCCACACGTTTTCGTCGGCGAGACGCTCGCCACCATTGACACGATCTCGCATAGAGTCCATCGCAGCTGCAGGCATAGTCATGTACGCTATTCTTGCGAACTGATTCGGACCCAATCCACTCAGCTTGCAATTTGCAAGCCCCTTGTTGTTCAGCGCCGCTTCCATCGTCTCCGAGACCAAAGTCTTGAATTCGTCCGTGTCTTTGTACGTCAACTGCCCCACCTCGGATTTCGTCTGCGTCGGCCCTAATGGCTGTGGATTTCTCATCGCCTTTTTCTCCGATTTGCCGAATTCGTTGAAGACTCCGGACCACTCGACGCGAAAGGCCTCGCTCAGTCCCAGCACAGGTTCCGAAGTCGCGGCGAGGTTTATCGCAGTGCCTCCAAGCTCATTGTCAGGAAATCCAGGCGGGATCCGCACTGTGCAGGTCTGGGGCTTCTTGGACGCTTCGGTAGAACCAGATGAGCTACTACCTTTTGATAGTGATGTACCACTACGAGCTGCTACCAGTGATGCGTCAGCGGTCTCGACAGGACTACTAGACGAGCGATTCACGTGTTGTTTTTTTCTATTCTTCGCACGGCAATCGGCTTTCCTCATGCGCTGCTCGAGTTCGCACATCGGATAGTCGCGGCAACTCGTGATTGCCTCTGCGAATTTGTACTTTATGTTGCACCACTGGCAATCCAGTTTATCGGACTCGTTCTGGCACTTGAGACAAGCCTGGTTCAACGACCTAGTTGAAGAGGACGCGAGAGGAGGAGTGGATGTTAAGTACTGTTTTTGGCACTGGCATTCTGTTTTCTCTTTGTCGCTCTTCGTTTCGCACTGAGGATGGACACAAGCATTGTACTCGGGAGAAGAAGTATCTTCGTACGTGGCTCCGCAGTGAAGGCATGCTGCTTTCTTGCTTTCGGGTGCGCTTTCGCACTGCGGAAATTTGCGGCAGTTGTCAAATAAGCCCTGGTCATTAACGAGAGCCGAATTCAGGTATTTTTCTTTGCAATGCTCGCAGTGTTCTTTTTCTCCTAGAAAAAGATTGTCGCAGACACCTTCCTCCTGCTGCTCCAAAAACGTTCCACCTTCGTTCTCGTTGGTTTTTTCGTCAGAAGATTGTCTACGTTCTAAACCAGTCCCCAACCCAGTCTCCAGGACACTCGTCGCCGGTTTAGATTGCAGATGAGCACTCCGCATTAGAGATCACAAGAAGACGCTCACTAGCCGCGTTCTTGAAGGTAGATGCGTCACTTACTATATGTCTTTTCCATCTAGGCTGATACCGTATCATGGAACATGTTGCTTTTTCCAACTATAGACAGACCATACTGGCAGCTTTTCCCCTTGCAATAATTGCCAGAATGGTCGTGAGGATGGAAAAAACGTCATCCAGATACTTATCTAACATAGAAGTCTTCGGAGAAATTTGAAAAGAATAATTGAATTTAAATTTACATCAATGCTTCACTCAAGAACAAGAACTTGGAAGCTTCCAATGGTCTACAGAGTTATAGTTTCCACCCAGTCTACGGAGGTATCTTCTCCACTCATCAACAAGAGCTTGGAAATCTTGTATCTCTGATATTCTCTAGTAATATTGTGGCGGAGCAGACCTAACTAGAAAAAGAAAGACCCGAGGAAGATAGAAAAGCGAAAAGAACAGTTATCATCTCTAATATTCTCTAATATTCATATCGTCTTTTCTTGTGTTCAGTGTTCTGATGAGAGATGACACCATTTTCCGAGTGCGAGTTATCTTCTCCACTCAAAATATATAAGAACTTAGAAATTCCTGTCATGGTCTTGTTGAATTCTTGGAAATTCGAAGTCCCCTGGTAGAATTCTACTAGTTACCCCTACTAAGAACGAAGTCTTGCTGAAGGCCTAAAGTTGACTCTGCCCGAGAGCGTTTTCCACCCGGTCGCCGAGCGTGCGGCCCACCTTTGTGGTCGCTGTCACTGGTGCGCAGGCCTAGGGGTCTTAGAGGTAAATTTTCGGACAATTTAGGATATCATACACCTACAATATCAATAATTAGAAGATGTTATTATATTTATAGGTGCCTGCAATGACTAGAGTAACTACAGTAATTAGATGCTATTATAGGTGCCCGATAGACTAGAGGGCTCACCTACCCGTGAGTCGCGATCTGTGGACCTCCTTAGGCTCCTTTTCTACTCGTGTGGTGACGTGTTCCTTGTCATGTGTGTACTTCTGCTTCTGCTATGACAGACTGAGCATGGCCATCTGAGAGACAAGATCTTCGCATATGAGTGCGTGTGCCCCTGATATGGGCACTCGCGACCACCGTAGAAGTTACCATGGCGATCTTATACAAGGCCACTCCACAAGAGACCGCTGGAGCCTTCCTAACTAGGAAAAAAAACTCAAAACACAAAAAGCAACACTAGAGCTAGATGTATAGACATTCCATAAGAGACGTAATTTGGCCTTCTCTATGATGCTCTTTTCGTCCGATGGCTCTTTTTCCGCCACCTCCACTCCTTCGCTGTCCGAAGTTAGAGTCGCTTAAGTACAAGATGGCTGAATAGAAATAGGTTAGGTTAGGTTATGGATTAACATTAATATACTTAGGTTAGGTTATGGCTGCTGAGTAAATGATTGATAGATAGCACCAAGAGCGATGTCATCTTCAAGTTCAACATTTCTTGATGATTGAATTTACTAAAAACGGTAAGGATGATGATCATAATTTCATCGTGAATAAATAGATGATTTTTACTAAGAACGATGAGTTCACAACTTTAGGATAGATGTACGGCTCGAGTTGATGAATCGCTTTCCTAGAACGAAGCTGATGGACAGCTCGAGTTGAAGTTGCTAAATGGCTGAATCGCTTACCTAGACGTCGAAGTTGATGCACAGCTCGAGATATCGTTATGACAGATGTTATCACCTATTTTGATTGGTGCCGTGATTTTGAGATTCGGTTAGGTTGTGGTGCTACATTTGTTCTAACAAGTCGATACTTTTAGTGAACTCGTTTGATCGTATATCAGCGGTGGTGCCATGATGAAAATATGAGAATATAGAGTATACCTAGAAGCCCGAGCAAGGCCACCTTCGTTGTATACTACTGATCGGGTCAGGGTCATCTTCGTTGTATACTAGCTACTAATAAAAGTGGTTGGGCCTTACGCTTATCACTATCCCTAAATACGGAATAAAAATGTGAGTGAATGTGGGTATGATGGAGCGAGCTCTACTACTAAAAAAGTAAAAATGTGTAGAGGAAATATCTAGGAGTGAATAAGCGCACGCGTGGCCTCGGGACTCACGAGACGGAGTTAAAGTTTTGACTACTTGGAGGTACGTGTCCGCTTACTTCCTGTCATGTGCCCGCTCTGAGTGCTTAAATTTTCTAGATCTCTCGCGACTTCCCTTGAAATTAAGGGGGGCCACGACAAATCAGGAGTCGTGATATCGAGGTTTCCTAGCCATGACATACGTTCCTGATCAATGCTAATAAAGGTCGTGGCTATTTTGCATGATGGGAGAAGCCTAAGATTCAGAGGGAAAACGAGCCGGCTGTTATAGTTATTTCTTTTTCGGTATTAAGAATTGAGGAAAAAGCAAATTGGAATGGAGACGAAACTACGCAGCGGCACGTAGCTGCCTCGCTCAGTAGTGACAAGAGTAAAGCCATGTCTCTATGTCTGCCTCTCTACTCCTTTCTTACCTTCCGTGTAGTAAAAACAGCTTTATGGAGTGGCCCACGGTACGATAGCGGTCCAGAGTAGAAAGTGGGCCAGAGTGGAAAGCCGAGACCAGAAGAGGGGATGGGTGGCAGACAAGGCGATCAAGAACGGCGCACGGAGGAGAAATAAAAGGGGACGAGGGGGAAGAGCAGGGGAGGCGAAGAAAGACAGGAGAGGCGGGGGAACTGAGAACAAGAAGAGGGCGCCCGAAGCGAAAGGGCCCGAGGGATGGGAGGTGGACTGGAGGAACCGAGAAAAGGGCGAGCGCAGACAAAACTGAACGCGAGAGAGAAGCAAAGAGGCAAGCAAAGACCAGAGACACCTAGCAAAGCGGCACGCTGGTCGCAGATCTCAAGACGATAATCGACATGCGCCTCGCTACCCTTGGAAAAGTTTGGCGGGGAGGGGGGCGATCTCAAGGATGCAGCAAGGCCCACTCCCCCGGCCAGCAGAGTCGACCAAGAGAAAGCCACAAGCAGCCACACCCCTACGAGTATGACAACGAAGAGCAGAGGCCCGCTCCCTCCCTCTGAGACCGACAGCGCGCGGCCGTTCGCGATGGTTGGAATGCCACACGCAGCGAAGGAGCCACCGCCGAGCGACTGACAAACCCCAAGCGCGGGCACTTCCTCCATCGCTTGGGGCGCGTCCTCATTGCTGGCGCTTCGGTCTTGGTGGAAGAGCGAGCGAGACAGCAAGACCACACGGCGCAACAACTTGCACCAGCGGTCGCAGACCAGCGCCGCCGGGCGGTGCTCGTCTTTGTCTCCCTGCCGCCCCAGGCTGCTCACCCCCAGCCAGAAAGGGAAGATGCGCTGAGTCCCCCAAAGGCACTCAGTCGCCAGTAAATACGGGCCCCTTGGCCCTGCCGTACCGACTTCAAGGCACAACCGTGGCAAGCCTGCCGGGGTACCAAGGTGCCTAAACAGAAGGCCCCCCAGGCTTGCCGCTTTTCCCTCGAGAGGGTTGCCCGCCCCCTGTCTATCACCAAGGATGCGCATAACATTCGCAACCTTTGGCATAATTAATTATCGCGGCCGCGACTTGGTTCAGGTTGGGAGAATTTCCCCTCTGGACAGGCTTGGGGCGAAATCAAACACTACTGCAAAAACCTGGGCCAGGGTGGGACCGGAGCGCAAACAAGTTAAAAAATTGCGAACGTTCCAGCCTGAACCAGAGCGAGCCCCAGGCTGAACCAGCTCCACCCTGGGTTGCTGCAGGTGGAGCATTTATACCTGATTACTCTAATAAACTCAACACTTACTACTAATTGTTGGCACGCCAAACATGCTACAGCAAACATCCTATTATGGTATAGGTACTTCACAGGAACAAAGTATTTTAGTGTAGATATGAAGCCAAAATCTGTCATCATTACCAAGCTTCTCAAGTAGAAAAGTGTGATAATGATAACAGGTTTTGGCTTCATAGTAGAGAGCTTAGTAGTAGTACTAGTAGTAGACCCATTCGAGGGGTACAGAGTCCAGATGCAGTCTGATGTTACTACTAAATTATACACGCAGTGATGCCTTACTTCAAACCATGTAGCCCTGGCTTCATAGCATGGCGTAGAGAGTGTTCATGGCGACCTTCATTATTATCGAATCAAATACTAATACACGACACTTGCAGCATAACAATATTTCGCCAAATGAAGGCACTTCCATATACGCATTCGCGGCTAAAAAACTGTAGAAATCCGATGGATCCCAAGCGGTCACATCACCGCTCGCGTCAGCGCTCACATCTTCATTAGAGCTATCACGGTCGCATCTGCTTCAAGTAGAAAATACAAGTAGAAAGTAGAAACTACAAATAGAAAATACAAGTAGAAAATACAAGTAGAAAATACAAGTAGAAAAACGTAGGAGTAGAAAGTAGAAAAGTAGAAAAAAGTAAGTAATAGTGGAAAGTAGAAGTAGCAAAAGGAGATTCTAGGATCATGGTGTCAACGACATGCTTCGGCGTTAGCCTTAACATCGACGGCTGTATCAACGGTCGCATTCGCGGTCGTTGTATTGGCGTTAGCCTTAACATCGATGGCTGTATCAACGGTCGCATTAGCGGTCGTTGTATTGGCGGTCGCATTAGCGGTCGTTGTATAGGCGGTCGTATTAGCGATCGTCGTATTAGCGGCCGCATTAGAAGCCGTTGCATTCGCGATCGTCGTATGAGCGGCCGTACCATTTTCGTACACGTACGCTCCGTTCACTGGAAGGCGTTAGAGGGGAAATGAGTGCTAGGGGTTGAAAGTTAACCGCTCTGGCTCGCACATCTATGGCTTTCCTACTTGACGAAATCATAGAGATGCTCATAGACATGTCAACTGCCACCCCTTAAGAGTGTATACTATTCCCCTAGTACTAGATGACGACGTTGTCTACTTAGTACAGTATAGTTGTGGATTACGATTAGAAGACGACTGCATCTACTTATAAGTTGGTATTACACTGGAAGACGTTGGAAGAGTGAATGAGCCCAATAAGAGTTGTCCTTAGAAGCACTATCGCTGTGCCTCTGATATAGAACAAAACTTCGTTGCAGTAAGCAATACCCCAGAAAGGTTTGTAGCTATTCAGCCTAACTAGGAAAAGGAAAATACCGAAAAAAAAACAAAAAGTGGAGCTACAAAGTAAGAGTAGACAAAACTGCCTACAAATAGGTTGAAAAATGTGAAAGCCTGACTACGCTTAGCCAGTGAAGTGGTGGACTACAGGCTAAAGTCAACTGTAGTGTTAGAACAACGTGGACCACATACATTATATGGTGCATCGTCCTATATTGTCTTTGATCTAAGAATTATCCGAACCTTGTAGACTAAAAGAAGAGTGTAAAGATACTACAAGAAGCCTCCTCATTCATTGTTTCAGTTCCTGCTTCTTTTTCATCCCTTACAGCTTTAAAGTCTTTGCCTGTGCCTACAACTTACAGCTTTAGTCAGTAGGAAAAAAATATATTCTATATATAATGATGACAATCTACAGGGACTACTTGATACTTCGTTGATCAGTTAAACAGTGGGAAGCTTTAGTCATTGGTAAACAAGTGATATGTGTGCTTCGCTGTGACAGCTTTAGTCATTGGTATATAAGCGTGATACGTGTGCTACAGCTTTAGTCAGGTTAGGTTAGGTGTGGGCCCACTAGGAAAACTAGCAGACATCGCTGGCTACTGAAGACCCAAAAAACAAGTGATGTGTGTTCCATACTATTGACGGGAACCGCGCAAGCGACGTTGGCCACTTCCCATCCAAGCCAGGACGGCTAAACTGACTAGTAATGACCCAATCATCTTCGCTGCTGAGTCAGGTTCGAGATTTGATGGGCCAAGAGTAGGTCATCCCTAGTTGCGATTTGTCTCGGTCGACCGCTGAGGTAAAATGTGCGAGAGCCCTCTCGTTTTTCTGCCACGACCGGTTATGTTCGACAAAGCTCAAGGAAAGATTGATCAGGGTCAGAGCGTTATTTCTTAGAAGAGGTAAAGACGAGCTATTTGCAAGAAGAGGTAGGTAGAGACGAGTTATTTGCTAGAAGAGGTAGGTAGAGACGAGTTATTTGCCAGAAGAGGTAGGTAGAGACGAGGTATTTGCTACAAGGGGTAGGTAGAGACGAGTTTGTTAATAGGGGTAGGCAGAGGAGAGTTCGTTAGGAGAGGTAGGTAGAGACGAGTTTGTTAATAGGGGTAGGTAGAGACAAGTTTGTTAATAGGGGTAGGTAGAGGAGTGTTCGTTAGGTAGAGACGAGTTATTGTTAATAGGGGAGGGATACATAGGTAGAGGAGAGTTATTGTTAGAAGAGGTAAAGGAGATTTCGTAGATGAGACGAGTTATTGTTATTAGGGGTAGAGAGGAGTTCGTTAGAGGCAGCGGAGAGTTTGGCAATACTCTTGTAAATTATGGTTTCTTCTTTTTCTTAGAGCACAAGCTTCCTTCTTCTTGGGGCTTCACCTAGGATAGGATAGGAGAGGATAGGAGCTGGCTCGCCTCGAGGAGGTGAGCATTCACGACTATGAAACAGCTCGTTCTCTTTCTATAATAGTACGTAAGTTGCCTTCGCCATAAGAACTGATCAGCTGGTATACGCGCTTCGAAAATCCGGTATACGTGTAACGAGGTAAGAAAGAAGGCAGAGACTCTACTTGCAGCATGATTCTAGTGGTCAAAATCATACCTATCGCAGATTTTTTTTCATGAGAGTTGATCATGAGTTGTGCGCGTGATGATGATATGGATCAAACACATGATTTATGCGTAGGTTTGACAAGTAGAAAATGAGCATGATGATATTTATAGAAAAACAAGTTGTATTGCGTGATGCTATAGACAAATAACTTAATCTTCGCCAGGTAGATGCGCGTTGATATGATATCAAAAACATCCGTCCCAAAGATTTTTATTTTTTGGTACTAGTTCGTGCATAAAGCTTGGCACATTAAGCTTGATTTGCTTCTTGATTTGCTTCTCTCTCGACTAGTTACTTTACAATGACAGTGGTAAAGAACAGAAGGACAACGGACTATCACTGACAGTCAGGTAAAGCGCGTGCTGTTGTGGTGGAATCCAGGTAGAGGGATTTCTTGCGGGATCCACGAGGAGGAGGAGGAATGCTGTGGGGCATGGCTAGAGAGCTGGGGTCTTAGGTCCTATAACAAATCAGGATAGGATAGGAGTGGTCTCACCTGCCGGGCTGTTATTCCTGCTGTATGAATGAATCTTCCCACCCTGCTACTCCATCCCTAGTTGCGAAATCAATTCTGACACCCTTGATTTTGCCTTATTAGAGTCTCATCTAGGAACCCAAAACCCCAACGATCCTTTCCCTTATCGACCGCAAATTCCAACGAGATGCTCCCCTATCGACTGCATTGAACTCAAACGATCTGTTGTTTCCCTAGCGACTATAAACCCCCACTATATATTCCCCTGTAGTCAACCACAAAGAAATCCCAAACGATGTTTCTCCTCTTCTTACAGCCAACACGTATGATAAAAACAGGTCTGATCTAGAGGGAAGAAAAAACATTTCATCAGAGATCCTCATCGACTTCATCGTCTTCGAGTTTCGTCTCCGAGTCAGCGAACAGTGTTGAGACACTTGTCACATCCTCCAATCGAATCCGTAGTATCGCTGTCGACCGGTTACCGCTTTCGAGTGGAAGGTCTTCAGGATTAGAGGGGGAAGATATGAGTAGCTGCAGAAGAAGTGGAGGAAGATATGAGTAGTGGGAGGAGGAGTGGAGGGTGGCGGTGGAGTATGATATGAGTAGTGGGAGGAGGAGTGGAGGAAGATATGAGTAGTGGGAGGAGGAGTGGAGGAAGATATGAGTAGTGGGAGGCGGAGTGGAGGAAAATATGAGTAGTGGGAGGAGGATGAAGGAGTCCACGAGGATATAAGTAGTTGGAGATGCAGGAGGGTGCGTAGTAGTAGTTGGAAACAGGGATGAGAAAACGGAGATAGACTTTATGTCCTGATTCAGGATTATGGCCAACATTCTCGAGATGGCAGTGACACATCATCACTAGGGTATCGATAGAAGAAGGAAAACCGCTAAGTAATTAGCCTAACATCAATAGAAGACGGTATGATCAATACTATGCATCGCCTCACATCACTACACTAAGAATACACGACCACACATGCTCATTGCATAATCGTGAGTATTTTTCTGCTCTCTCCGAGCCTCATGCCATCGAGAATTTCGGAGACCTTCGGCATACAGCCCAGATGATATCTTCGACCCTGGACACGGGTAATTAGAGAATGCATGGGAAGTTGCGAAGCTACCCGAGGCCTTCTACCATAGAACGCGGTGACACGTTCAAGGTTGCTGGATCATAAACAGTACAAAAACAACTGATCTTCACTTCAGAATGTGTAGATGAATGGAGTGCCTCCTCGACCTTCTGTTCAAGAATAGCGTTCTGTTCTGCAGTTGAAAGTCCATCTATTGTTTGAAGGCATAAGCCTAAGAATAGAGGGAAATAAACTACCCGGTTGCTTTACTTATGTGCTTCGAGCGTCGCTGGGCCTAAGCCTCCACCTCATAAAGAGGCTAAGTGAACCCAACCAAGATTTGCAGCACACATCTTACCCAAAGGGGAAAAATCAATATAAGTACAACAACACTAGTTGAAAATCCATATAGTACAACAACACTAGATATAAATACATCTCTGCCCCGTAGTCGTACAAATCTTCTACCCTCTACAACACTAGATCTAGATACATCTCTGCCCCGTCATCGTGCGAAAATCCATATACAACAACACTAGATCTAAATACATCTCTGCCCCGCAGTCGTGCTCCACCCTTAACTTACACATTTGCGACGAAGATCGCGCCAGTTTGAAACTCTGCCTTCTATCCGCATCTTGGAGTGTCATTTCTTCTCCGCTCTGCGCATCGAGGAGTGACTCGAGAGTAATGCTTACTCATATTAGTGATAGGCGTGAAAGTGAAAAGAGAGTGACGCTACTTTCTCATGTCAGCGGTACTAACGCTGTAGCTAGAAGATCATATTCTCTGCGCAGTGATTAGGAATTGCATAGACTACCAACAAAGGATATCGCTCGAGCCTATCCTTTCCAAAATTTCTTCAAGTGGGAAAAGTGAAAGTAAGTAGGTGCAGGTTATCAAATTGAAACAAAAACGCGATTTTCTGTTTGATTTAGTGTAGTCAATGTAGCCTCAAATTTTTGAAGTAGTAGCAGTAACCCTGCTCATAACAAGTCACCAGTCTGCACTATTTGCCCGTGACCTGGCTCCACTGTCCAGACGTGCTGCGTTTTTGCTTTCCTCTCTAACCCCTCTGGACTGTCCCCCGATGTGCCTCGGTTATACCTAGTTGGACAAGTAGAACACCATTTTGGACATCGAACTTATCCTAAAGAAGAAGAAGAACTTATCATAAACTTCTAGATCAACCAGAATTTTTGAGGCAAATTCCTTCAATCAATCAATCAGAATGCCTCGACAGGGCTACGGGGAAGTACGGGGAAACATAATTTTTCGTATGCTACTAAGGTACTTACTTAGTAGTACATTCCAGATCCTCCGCTCCCTGCCTTCTCCCGCCTCTGCGTTAGAGTGTGCAGCTTCGCAAAGGAGTAAAAATGTGCCTCATACTCGAGCTTCCTGTCGATAGCGATAGTAATGTACGCACTCAGTGCGAAAGGTTGGTGTTTGTTCACAATTGCATAGCGATCGTAGTGATGAGACATACTCAAGTACCCAGCAGCGATGGACCTATACCAAGTGGTCTGGAAAAGTGTGCAGAAGCCGACAAAACCAACTAGCATTGAATGTCCTGTGATATTACGAAGGGCATCCATCATAATATTTCGAAAAAATATATTCCAACATAACTGTTGTGCGCGATGCAAAGTCCACCAAACCCACAGTGCGGAAAGGACGAAACTCACAGGCAAAGTTATGTGCGAAAAACGAAATTTGTGTGCAAAACCCGTCATCTTCTGCGTCGTTGTTGGGAAGATAGTGAATTAAACTTCGCTCTCTATTCTTCTTTCTAAACCCACAGCGTGAAACGATAAGGTCAATAAATAAACACTTGATCCTAGTGGAGACACGTTTTTTGAAAATACGAAGACATTGTTATTCTTGCTGCTGAATTTTGCCATAGTACGTTTTTTCTCTCTACCAGTTTGAAGAAAGCCATGATTTTTCTCTCTCTCTGTATAAGCTGCAGAGAATGCGTATTTTTCTCTCTCTCTCGCTCAACACCTGCAAAGTGCTTTCTTCGTAATCTCGCTCGTCTTGTTTTAGCACAGCCATTCTTCTCGTCCCCGCTTGTTAGGTCTTCTTGTCCTGATGACTCCTGTCTTCAAGTATTGCTCACCATTTTACGCTTGTTAAACTGCGTATCAACATTCATATCCTCATCTCATCATGATAGATAGATGTACCCACTCACGGGGTATAATTTCTTTAATTAGGAATTGACAGCGTTAGTTGTGGTGCGTCTCATGTCTGACGTCATAGTTGCGTTTTGGTCTTAAGTCATGACATTGGAAAAGAAAAGAAGGAATTATTGTTCAAGGGAAAACTCTTATGCAACTCAACATTTAATCTGCGAACAAAGTGAAAGTGGACAGTAGAAGTACAAGTATATCTTTAGATGCGCTAAGATAATGTAGAAGAGGATGCTGAACCTATTATAAACCTTTGTACTTCTGCTCCATAAGACTGCTATCTTCAACAAGACTGCATTCTCTTGAAGCTTCAATATTTTTCTTCTATCGATCAAGCGCAGAAAAACGCTCTAAATCAGGCTCTTATGAAGGTCAGAAGCGCACTACAATTCCATGCTATCTTCAACCAGACTGCATAACTCCACAATTCATTGCAAGCCAATTTCAACGAGACTGCAGATTTTTCACTGTGGTATTTCACGACGCGCTCTCACAACGCGCTCAACCGGACTGCAGGTACAGACCCAAAATTTCGAAAACGACTTCGAGGACGATCAGGATGCGCTCAACCGGACTGCAGGTACAGACCCAAAATTTCGAAAACGACTTCGAGGACGATCAGGATGCGCTCAACCGGACTGCAGGTACAGACCCAAAATTTCGAAAACGACTTCGAGGACGATCAAGATGATGATGATCCACTCTAGGTTGTGCTCGTTCTTTATCGTCACCTGATAGAGGGTTTTTTGAGAGCGTGCGGGAGGAGGAGCGTTCTTTCTTCTAAAGGGGACGGTGCACTGCCTCTATCGTGAGGCGCGTTGGCTAGTATCGTCTTCTTCGTTGTTCCTTCCCCGCGCACCTGCAGCAGGAGTAGCAGGACAAAACTACTAGCACAGCAAGCCGAAGAAAACTACTCTCAGAAGATGGAGTAGAAGTCGGAAGATGAAGCAGAAGGAAACTAGTAGCAGCAGCGAAAACAAAGAACAACCAAGTCCTCCAGGAAAAACCTAGAGCCATTCGATCAAGTCGGCTTGCATATCTGGTCTGGAGTAGCTCGTAGTTGGAGGTAGCAGCACATGGCGTAACAACGGCGGCCAAAACCGTACGGCTATTATTAGCGGAGAGAAGAATCCGAAAGAAATAAAATGTGAATCTACTACTTACTTACACCATGATGATGATCTCCATAAGTAACACTAACAGTTAAATGCATCCGATGAAAATGTCGTAATATGTCTGCTGACATTCACATTCGAATTCTTGTTTTAGTTGAGTATCACAGAAAATTGTCCATAAGAGTATGTCCAGCAGCCACGGTCCCCAATATGGATTTCGATACATGTCGACCATTACTGCAAGTATGTCCACTATCACGTTCGCAAAGACGAGCAGTATGACAATCCACTCTAATCGATGCCCGCTTTCGATAGTGATCTGACGTGATAGTTTTCGTGTCGGGGGTCGTCTTGTTGTCCAGTTTCTATTTGCTGTCCAGTTTTTATGAGTTCTTGTAGTGGTCCTGTTTGCTACATCTTGTACGTTTCTAAGATCGGGCGTGAAGGTCCTCTGGCGCAAGAACGTGGTCCGGGTTCTTTCCTTGCTCTGCAGACTTGCTTCCACCCCACTTCAGTGGGACAAAATGCAAATGCCCCTCTCAGCCACCAGGAGCAGATCAAGAATCAAAGATCATACTTACTAGTTCGTTTCAACATCAACTGTTACTTCTCAAAAGAAAAGTTTTATCAGGGAAACGCATACATCAAACAAAAATACGCCTAGTTCCGAGTAGTTCTGACTCAATAAACAAGCTCGACATCAAAGTACTTCGTTACCCCATTAACATTCGGCAGCAACATCTAAAATACGCTAGTACCTCATTATGCAGCATCTCGTAGAGCTCCTTGATGATTTCGAGCCTCTGATTCACGATCGATACTTCGGATTAGCGCTTTTGGGTGCTTATATAAAGTTCGGTGGAGCACGCCTATCTAGGAAACATCTTGGGTGCTTATATAAACAGTTGCCCGACTTTTACATAAGCACGACATATTGTACGACTTAAATACTACAGTTGCCTTAACTTTTGCTCAAATCGAGATACTTGCGGCATTTCATGTAGCTATCCTCAAATTCGTCGAACTCCCAAAAGACGTCAGGCGTGTCCAAAATGTCAAAATGCAAGTTTACGCGACACCTCTGTGGGGAATGAAAGGCGGATTTTGTGGAGGGTAGTCTTGTGGGGTAGTTTCATGAAAGAGATGGAGCTCCTCGACGGGTGCAGTAAGTAGACTACCACCGTCAAGAGAAGGTGAGATTCTAGAATTTTCAGGAGTCATGATCACATTTCTCCCATATAAACAAAGAGATCCCCCATGTATTGTGCGAATCAGAATCAAGTTCTTCTCATAAACAAAGAGATCCCCCATGTATTGTACGAAACAAGTTCTTCTCATAAACAAAGAGATCCCCCCTATATTGTGCGAATCAGAATCAAGTTCTTCTCATAAACAAAGAGATCCCCCATGCTTTGTGCGAATCAAATTCTTCTCATAAACAAAGAGATCCCCCATGTATTGCGCGACTCGTTGATTCGTCATCGCTCTTGGCAACTGACCAGTGCGCATCATTTGTTCTGGTATCGTCTTGTTCCGTTCTATAGAGCTCTCCACACTTTCCTCAAATACCGAGAGCTTGACACTTTGCCCAAAAGCGTAGCAACTATTAGGGGTGTGGATGTTGCAATGCAATTGTGATAGTTTGCTAGTGGGGCGATCACTGCTTGCTCGACGGACAATACAGAGCTGCCTCAACCTGATTTTAGAGAGAAAAAATGAGAGAAGCGAATGCTCAGGTTGGATTTTCGGCTACCGTGAAGTCTACCACTGGCTAGCATACCAGTCTCTAGACTATGCGATGCACTGTGAACTGATTATAGAAGGGAAAATCAGAGAAGCGACGAGATGATGCGAAGAGCGAAATGCCATGCATTAGCAGCTATTAGGGGTGTGGATGTTGCAATGCAATTGTGATAGTTTGCTAGTGGGAATGCGGCCGTAATATAAGCTAAGCGCTCGAACGCGTTTTTCGTTGCGAGAGTGATCCGGTCTTTTGCGACGTAACCTGAAATATGGATTCTCGAACTATCCTCCATCGTCCAAGATTATGAACAACAAACCTAAAAACTCTTCAAAAACGTCCAAGACTCCAGTACCGCTATTCGGAGGTCCTATGAAGAACCCACGATGAGAAACATATCATTACCACTATTCGGCGGTCCTCTTTCGACTATGAAGAACATGTCATCGTACTCAAATTCTGGCAGTATTGAAAAGCAAAAGGGCTTCAAGAACTTGCAGATATCCCTGACTTGATCCTCCGTGACACCCCAAGCCACCACGGTTCCGAAGCGAAAGATAAAACAATCATGATCGCCGAGCACTTTGAGGTAAGAGACCTGGAGCAAGTCAACAAAAGATAAAACAATCATGATCGCCGAGCACTTTGAGGTAAGAGACCTGGAGCAAGTCAACATTTGAGAGCACTTTGAGGTAAGAGACCTGGAGCAAGTCAACATTTGAGAGCACTTTGAGGTAAGAGACCTGGAGCAGGTCAAAACAATCATGATCGCCGAGCACTTTGAGGTAAGAGACCTGTACAACATTTGAGATGGGCAAGAGAATGTTGAATTCAGTTGCAGGCTTCAGCTTGTGTGATATTCATAATAAGTGTGGTGGAGCACACCTAACTAGAAAACAAAAAACCAAAAGAGTCAAGTAATCCAAATATCTGAATAAATTATAGTGGCCAATAATATCTAATCTATGGTATAATAAACAAGTAGAATTTCCGTTGGTGCGCAGCTCCTCCTGTGAACATAAAACTGTAAATCAAAAGTTACACAATCACGAAGATAAAAACTATACCTGTGGATCCACACTAACTATTGCGTCAGGGCTGTCGAATTTCTTGCCGCTTTGGTCTACGTACTGCTCTTCTAATGGGTTCAATATTTCCTGTCCGTTCTCGACATCCACAGCGTTATATCTCGTATTGAGACCGTCGAGATCGATTGATTCGCATATACAAAAAGCGTGGGGTATTAGACCCTAACTATGGTGCTAATTCGAAGATACAAAGCATTGTACTAATCAGAAGTAGAAGATATTACTATTAGGGTGGGCTTTTCTTAACACTTGACCCTGCGATTGTTCCCATCGACGCATTCTCTGTTGCTTCTTTTTCCTCATAGCCATCGAAGCAGCGATCGAAAACTCAGATTGATCTTTCAGCAATCTCGTAGTCAGTTTCCGATTCCCGAGTGTAAAGTCCGTCCCACGGCGTGGCTGATACCCGCGCGTCGTGGCTGCAGGAGCAGTATTGCCGCCACTACCGCCACGTATTAGACTCTCTTTAAGGATCGACATCTACTCAAGTAGGTCATGGAATTCGCTTCTTTTTTCTTGTCCAGTGGAGACCCACTTTTCCAGTGGAGACCCACTTTTCCAGTGGAGACCCACTTTTCCAGTGGAGACCCACTTTTTTCTTGTCCAGTGTCCACTTTTCCAGTGGAGACCCACTTTTTTCTTGTCCAGTGTAGTAACTAACCTAACTAACCTAACTAACCTACTAGAGGACCCATTTTTTCGTACAGTGGTGTTCTTATAGGGGAATTTTCCTGTCATTTGGGCGCGATCCTGCAGAACCAGAAAAGGATTCCTCAGAGGTTCTTGATTAAATAGGAGTTCGTCTCGCCAACGTAATGTGATATTTCTCTGTACACCGCCTTCGTTCGGTGGGTGTATTGCCGAACCCCCGGCGGCTGACCTTGGTTCTGTGGCGGCGCCAGGAGTTCGAGCAAAAGCTGCTGTTGTCGTCACTGCTCGCTCTAGAACAGCCTGAGAACCATGATCCGGTGCCCCACCTATTATTCCGGAAGTCGTGGAACTACTCTTTTGTGCCATTTGCTCGGAGGGTATGAAGCGAGAGAGGAGAAAAAGGAACAACCATTATTTTCTTAGTGTTGATCACGTCAAAGAATTCCGAAGAAAAATGATAATAGTGCAGCACTTGAAGAGCTACGTTAGAAACCTGATTTGGCCAACAAGACATCTCATATGGAAAAAACTAGAGATCTCATTTTATTGGCCTTCTACCACAGTACGAATCTATTTCTTCTGTTCTCAAACCAGCTGCTATTGAGAAACAACCCATTCTTGTTGTGATTGTTTTTGTTTCATAGTCTGACGAGTGGAAGCATTGTCCCTACCCTGAGCCACGGCGTCTGGGACTAGACCTTTCTCTTCTCCTGTGAGGCTACGAACCTCTTCCGTGACACTCTGCGCCGAAGAAAACAAACGACCCCCTGATCCGGACGAGGTAGATTTAGAGAGTGTTCTTGAGAGGTAGATTTTTTAGAGGCGTAGATTATTAATCAAGTATGGTTTTACAACTTCTGGCTTTTTTTCTAGCTTCACTGTCGACTTGGAGTGTGATAATTCCAGCATTTTCAACCTACTGTGACTTAAGTGTGGTAACCTACCACATTCAAGTAATTCGAGCACTCCTACCATAATATTCCGCAGTACGAACGGCATTGGTGGCGTGCTTTTCGGCGATTGGCCTCCTGATCCAGGCTGTGTTGCGAAAGGGACTAGTAAGCGGCCACTGCCTGGACGTGGCGAGGAAGAAGACAGCTGTTGCACCATGGTCAGCAAGCTACCATTTGAGGAGGCTTGTCTTCCTTGGGTTTTTCTTAGAGGCGGACGTTTATAAGTAGTATACTACACCTTCTACCTAGTAAAGATCAAAGTCATGTGATCTTCGTAAATTCCAGTAGAGCCCTGTAACTAGAAAAAGAATGAAACGAGTATTGTGGCCTCCTTAAATTCTGACTACCCGCCGCACCAGATGGTATGGCGCCACCTGCGTTGTTCGCCAGGGTTCCAGCACCAAGTGGAGCCATATTAGTTCCGATACTGCTACTGGCACTCAAGGTCACCGGTTTTGATGTTGAACTGGAGCTAGTCCCTTCCATGGTACTCCTCGATGCTGCGGTATCTTGAGCCGTCGCTGCTCCGTTGTAAGGCCCAGCGCCGGTTGAGCGAGATTTAGAAGTTCCATCGACTCGCTCAGCCCTACTGTGATTCCATTACTGCATCAATCAGCAGCGACAGCGAAGATGCTTCTTACAGAGGCAAAGATGATTCTTCTTCATGAGAATCGGGAGCTTCATTTTTACGACTATTAATTAGACCGAACGAGGTAGCTAGTGCTAGTTTCAACTTTACAACACCGACTGCAAGACCTTAATAGTCGTGCTAGGAATTTTCTGGAGTTGCGCGTATGCTGTCCTTGGCGATAGAAAAGTGCGTTCTTGACTATCGGATGATGCTGTGGGTTGCAAGGCATCGGCTGCGCTGGCAGATGAATGGGGATTTTACACAGAAGTGTCGTATGATTCATAGACAAGAACTTCTGCTATCAAACAGTTCTCTCAATACTGGAGTCCTTGTCATCTGTAAGCAGTATTATACTGGTACATGACCAAACGATTAGTAATAACGTCTTCAATCTCCCTCAGCCATAACATGAACGATGGTGGCCGGTAGTTCTGTGCGAGCTCCCCTGACTCTGTTCCATTCACCTCAATTCCCACGTGGGGGCGGCCTTCAATGCTACGCTGACCGTCAAAACTGTCACGACGTTCGAAATCTTCGTCGAGGGTTAGAGAATGATCAAACATTCTGGCTTCAGGTTAGCAAATGAAAGAGAAAATGTTGACTATACGCAATTCCCAACAAGATGGCGATGATGAGGATGATCTCATAAAAGAAATTCCTCAGGTCCCACCACAGCATATTCGTGTCGGACTTTATGGTCTTCATCATCGGGTGCTGGCTCTGGCGACCGGCTGGCGGTCGTCCTACCACGATATTCTTCATAGCCATGTTGTGGATAGTGGTGGTCGACTGCGTGAGGGGATTAGAAGCGAAGTCCTTCTGTCCCTCCTTTTGACAAATAATTAGAGGACCTACGAACCTGACGATTTGAATCTATTCGGCGAGCTGCCTAAGATTTCCCAGGACCTACGAACCTAAATGACACAGTTTGCCAGAAGGAACAGCCAAGACCATGTTAACCGTAATCAACAGCGCGATAGCGCTCCTCTTCCCTGTATCTATCGTCTTCCCTGTAGCCGCGCTCATCATAGCGTTCTTCTTCCCTGTAGCCGCGTTCGCCATCCCTATAGCGTTCGTCTTCTCTATACGGATCTCCGCTTCTGTAGGGGTTATCGGAAGCTCTGTAGGCATTGTTGTAGTTCTCCCGTCGCCGACTCCTACGTGGGTACGAGCGCCCGTCTCCACGGTTCCTACCCTCATGATATACTTCCCTGTGGGTGCTAAGGAATTAGAAAAGAGTAAAACGGGGAAACAAGAAAAAGTTTCCTGAATCTAGTTCAGCTTTAGTTTGTTATTGGGGATACACTTATCAGCATAGAAAGATGTGTCCAGGGACATTCGTTCCGGAGCACCTTGACCTTGCTATGAAAAACAAGGCGACAAGATGCCCTCTCAACCAGCACAATGTCCACATCTAGCCCGTCAAAATTTCAAAGAATCCCCTTTAATAAAGATTTCCATAACCTTCCGTCCCCTCGCCGTCCTCCGAGTACTCACCATCGGAACGCGAGTTACCATCGGAGTACTCTTGTCGAGTGTCAGCTGCCCTCCTCTGTAGCAATTGATCTCGCAGTCGGTCAGAAGTGTAATCCATTTCAAAAATGTGCTTGGTACGAGGCGTAGGTTGATGATTCACGTAAAGGAAAGCAAATATTGCTTAGGTCTCTGCCAATGAAAGCAAGTACTTTATTAATATGAAAAAGCATCTTCTACTGCGGCATTTTATTTCCTCTTGTTCCCTATCGGAGAAGCTCAGTACATTTTCTCGGTTCTCTCAGTACAATCAAAATTGGACTCTCTGGCGTCAATACCCCGACCTTTCTGTCATTCCACAGTAGTCCTCACTCAGCTCTCTGCGCAGCCCTCCTCCTAGAGCGCTCACATAGTGCAATCTTCCACGATACTGGAGAGTGCAAGAAGATACCAGAGGTCCTCCACTAGGGTGGCCACATCATCATTTGGGAGCCCCGAATCGGGGCCCAAGTAGAGGATACACTTTCTTCGTTTCGTCGTTTCGGTAGAATCCAGGACTTATTTATTGTAGTTGTCAAACAATGTTGAAAGAGGCATAGCGTTCCCGAGGAACTCGTAACCGCTTACACGCAATGCAAACTGTTTTGCGGTCTCTTTCCGACAAGAATTGGTTCTCTATTTTCTTATGTTCTTTCTTACTTCTGTTATCAATGAAAGTCAGATGCTCTAAAATCGTATCGACTAGCTGACTGCGTGATAGTAGCATAGGTTTCTTACTACCGTTTTCAGAACAAAGCTCTAGCCCAATTTCTATCCGAAATTTCGTTAAAGCATTTAAAACATTAACCAGTACACTAATCTTTAAGGTGCTGTTGCGTGGAGGAGAGAATTGAGGTTCATTCACTCTTCCCCTCAACTCTAATCCGAGCGTACACAACACAAATTCCGTCAATTTCGTTGATTTCGTTCTCAGCTTGCCAGCAGCGACAATTATATCCGCAATCTGTTGGGGGGAAAGATCTTTTAGACGTCCCTGTCCTCCCTCAGAAGCTTTACTAAAGTAATCCACAACCACGTGTTCGAATAATTTGAGGCGTTCTTTTGTCGGATCTCTTTCTCGGTCTAGTATAGAAACTCGTCCTTTTGAATCTCCTTCGCGGTCTTTTGAACTCCCTCCATCACGCTTTTCCATATCAGCAAACCGGTTCTCGTATCTTCCTATGGCTACTGCGGCAGCTATTACATCCTCCGGAGTCCACGGCTGTCCCCATGTCCCAGTCGTAGACCTACAGCAAAAAGCTTTACAGCTCTCGCGCATGAAATTTTTCAGTGCTTCATCCACCTCCCCTACTGCTTTACAACTATCAAACACCGGTCCCCCAGAGTAAATTGGTCCCCCAGAGTAAATTGCATCAGCGGCGTTAGCCCAGTCTCTTGGAGAGATAGTCCTCGGTGACGACATAGTTGTTCCAATAGTCGTCTGTGAGACCAGGAGGGGCGCCGTTTTGGGGCAGGATGAAGCCTCATCTTCGGACGAAGTCTTGCGCAGCAGCATAGTGAACCGGTTCAGGAGGCACACACCCAAGTCGCGAAGCATGATCTTCTCTGACGAGAGATGATCTCCTTGATGGTCGCCCTCTGCGCCAGAAGCTCTATTTGTCTTCAAAATCTGCGTGTCAACGTCTCTCATCCCCTTGCCAAGCACATGAATTGCAAGGCTCAGTTCTCGATCATCGTGTACGCGATTTTGCAGAGACGGAGAGAGCAGTATCGCTGCCCGCGCACCGAAGCCGAGTCTTGCCGTCGAATGGAGGAGCGATACCAAAGCGCGTGGCTCCCACGATTCCTGCAGCGTGGTGAAGAGCAGACGGTAGGTTTGGTTGGATTGAGAACAAGTTAGGTTTGGAATGAAGATTCATCTTCGGAGCATTGAGAAGCACGAAAATGTAACATCTTTCGATCACGATTCGACCTCTTGTAATCATTCACCTGTAATCATTCACCAGACAGTATCAGGGCAAAGATGACAATATTGTGTTTCGCTCAATCTTCTTCAGAAATGAGAAGAAGTTTTGAAAAATGCTCATCATGCTGAACTACAGCACATTGAAGTATGCGCCTGCTACCTTATCAATCTTGTGAGCGTCCACAACGTAGTACGTGTACATAAGAACGTACGTGCACGTGCGTAGTTGGACTACACATCACGAAGAACTTGCTAGACACCACGACGCTAGGCTGTTGGCCCTTTTGAAAAGGCGGAGGTGGATGTCGGGATCTTCAAATTTGAGTTGTTGTGGTATTGGTAAGTACATTGTCCTCTTGAAGACGTCTGATCTTTACCTCTTCTATCGAGGAATCAGTCGAGTTCAGATCGGAAGTAAATCTTCAATATAGCACAGGAATGCAGATGAAGATTTTAAATTTTCCTGGGAAAACGACATTTAAGAAAGAGTCAGAGACTGTTTTGAGAGGTTCACCGCCATCAACTTCCGAGAAAGTCTAGCGAAACGAGGAATTCCTTTGGTATCTCTTTGTCTCATCATGTGAATACAGCCATAAATATTGATCTTTTCAGCTTTCTTGTTTGGATCGATAGGGTGAGCTTCTTCTGTCGAATTGTGTGGATAGGCAGAGGGCAAAAATGTACGAATGTATGTGCGGATCTTTCTCCCTTGAGCAGACATATCGTTAAACTTTCCCTGTACTAGATCACCTATGTTGACGTAGACTCAGTGATGAGTAAACCTCTCCAGAATTAATTATTAGAGCTACCAACGTGCATCCCTGAGACCATCCCTGGATCCATTTCCCTCTTGAAAATGAGGCAGGGATGATGTTGAGGATGCTCGCTTGGTAGCCTTAAAATTAAGAAATGGCCTGTGATCACATCCAGGCGTTGTTAAAACTAGTGCGACAACCAAGTAGTGCTATCACAAATACAGAGAGTACCAGAATCTTCGTCTGGCTCTCTATCATGGCTAAAGCGGCTTCAACGAAATCTGAGGCTGCTGTCTTGGTTTTTGACTCCTTCGTTAGAGTCTGCTAGATTGCATCCCGGCCCCCTCATCTTGGCCCCTTTACTACCCTTGTATCATTTCATAGGAATAATACAAGGGAAAAGGGTACGGAGATGCCGAGGAAGATGGACACTAAATGTTGACCATAACTTCATTTTCGCTGCCACGTTGCAACAGGCACATGTTTCTTCCATACCCCAGGATTCGGAAGTCCCATGCACTGCCTGCTGCTTCTGCAGACTACTCGTGCCCATCAAGAACAATTTCTTGCACGCCCCATCCCCCATCCCATGATAATCTTGTAAGCCGTCTAGCAACATGGCGAAAACTCTAGGGCTTGCGCCAGCTCCTCCTGAATGTGGTTCCTCCAGAAGAGTGCCAACCGCTTCAAGGAATGGCTCATCCAGTCTGACCGTAGGTATTTTACGCGCTGCATTACTGCACAAGGCAAATTCTGTCAAGAAGTCTAATCGTCTTCTACAAGGTGAGCCAACATCTCCACCTCCAGGCTCACTTTTGCCCCTTTCTTTTTCACCAGCAAGAGAGCGGGATTCTTCGGCCAGAAATGTGGTTACGAGAAAATCGCAACATCGTTGAACCAATTCGCTGCAACAACATGTTATTCTTGTGGTCTCTATTGGGGGACTAGGTGGATCTCCCTGTTCGGTAGCAGTCGCGCTAGCTTTTTTGGGCCCTGTCAATGTCGAAGCAACATCGACGTTGCCGCGTTGGCCTCCTCCTGCTTTCGGCCTCGTCCATATGGAATCAACCTCGACGTTCCGCTGGCGTCTAGTGTCGGCGTCGGAAATGGAGACATACAATCTTGCTGCGACATTCGCCAAGCGTCCTACTACCCCAAGTCGCACTTCGTCAACGGAAAAACTTCGAAAAAAGTGGTCGGAACTTAGAAGATGAAGACGGGGTACAGCATATAAAAAGTTGTTTTGTCATCTCATACCTTTCTCTAACTAACTAGTTCTATATCGCACAGAATAAGAAGTTGTATTCTCCTCGTGCTTAATAGCTGCGATGAAAATGATAACGACGATGATAAAAATGCTTATGCCCCCAAAAGCTACTCGCCCTTGCTCATACCTTCTTCTACTTGTGCCAACTATTCTAACCTATTCATTCATTCATTTGCGAACCACGTAACAGCTATCGCTGCCTGATTCCGTTGCGACCCGAGTAGAGACGCGGCAAAGAACCGATAACCTACTTAGTTCCATATCGCACATAAAAACACAGAGCTCGGTCCGAGCCACTGCTCCACTATGCTTAGAGCAGCTTGAGGCGTCGCAAATTCCACAACGTCTGCCAAAATGAACGGCCCTACACTCATTGAGAACGTTGCCTCACGAACGTCGCTTCTTACCCTATGAAGGCCTACTGCTGAGAGTATGGTGGAGCGACGTTCTGCACCCGTCTATTTCAGAAGAAACGTTGGTGCGATCGTTCTCAAGAATCGGTTGTAGTGGCATAAAGAGAATAGGCGCCACCAGATTGTCGCTGAGCTCTCTTGACCTGGCTATGTTGTCCAGCAGCACCTCTCGTTTTGTCGTCTCTCGCAACACTTTTAGAGCGAGTACGCGTGGGGTTCTTAGGTTGTTTGATGCCACCTCGTATAGAAAAGCGCATAAGTGGTCATGTCATCTCAATTGATGGAGTCTGTCACTCGTCCTTGTTGTCATCCTTACACTTACAGTGACAAGACGTGTTTTTCCTAGCTTCCATATCACCAAATTCTAGCGTGAGGAGAGTCCAAAAAAGACTGAAAAGAATTTTCATTCATAAAATGTCGTGTCCTTTTCCCTCCATGTCTCTGTCTCGGTTACCTTTCCTTCTCAAGGCCAAGCTGCGCAGGCCTGAGCGAAGCCGCAAGTACTGCTGCAGCCCTGTAAGAGGCTCCAATGGGCGTACTCGCATCATAAATGATCAGGGCTTGTTCAATTGTCACAGAACTACATGGGTCATATCTATGAGGCTTCCTCTCGCCGTAAAGATGTTCCTGTTTTCAGATGTGACTTTTTGTCAGCTTTTACCCTGACAACACAATACAATTAATCTCGCACCGTTATCAGTGCAGACTGCCGCGCGGCAACAATGAAAACGAGTACCCAGTTCACCACGAACATGACAGACGGTTTTGATCGACAGTAGATGCTCAGTTCGTCAACTGCAGGCTTTGTAGGTTTTCATCCGCACGTTTATCCGAAAACCCGCTGACCGAACACTTACGACGGCCAGCCATCGAAAACCTCGCCCTTGAGGAACGATATTGCTCTGCTTTGCATTGGGTGAAGGGAGTAAAATGAGGGAAAATTTCCAATTTTTTTTTGACTTTCCAATTCCATATGCAGCTTTGTATCTATACCAAATTAAACTTAGAGTTCTTAAACGATCTTGTTTATAATACTAGTTTGTATTGGGGCACATCTTTTCGCAAGTCCTGCTGATCGACGTACCCTGTTTTTGTTTTAGATTCCAAGTAAGAAGATGAACAATTTTTGGAGATGACGAAGTCTTCCAACAGTAGAAACCTTCACGCATAGATGTCAGATTTCAGTGGGTGTCGCTTTTTGGCCTGGTTTTTTTTTGTATGGGTGATCCTAGTTTTAACCAGTTCGCAAACCGGCGGCAGGAGGAGTCCGATCACCTCCTTATATTACTGCGCACTAATTGCCTACGATCCTGCCGATTATAAAATGATGAACCCGAGGGGTAAAGGAGGCGGGTTAAGAGTCTTATCTAAACCTCCACCGGCTGCCTCACTGGACGCTATGTGCGACAGCCTCATTATCACTGATCCATAAATCAACGATAAAACCTCCATCTTACAAATCGTCTACTCATGATGCTTGCACGCGGCAGATCTCTCTTCTGAAACTGTGCATGACAGGAAAAACAAATATTTCTGCACAATGTGTAGCTAGAACTACTTTCTTATTCTTCGCCGCCCATGCAAAAATAGAAACACTAAATGTACTGTGACAGACTAGATCGTGTGCGTAAAAAATATCCGTGTGGTCTAAAATCTTGGAAAATAACTTCCTTATCCAAAATCTTGCAACTACATAACTGCTACTTGTTGTAATCTATGTTGTATGTGACTTCTTGAGTTGTGTATCTTTATCTATGCGTTGTGCAAAAAAGTTATGACAGTACACAGGGACCGTTATTTTACTTGTTAGCTAGGGGAGGCCGCATTCAAAAAATTTCTAGTATTATTCAAAACCCCAGGTAAGGAAGGAGAAAGCCTGTCCACTACGAGCATGTCAATGTCGTAGCCTTATTATGTGCAGAACCGTTTGAAGAACTACTCAAGAGAAACTTGTATCATCTGATGATGGTTACGGTTTACTCAAAACTTTACTACTTCGTGATATTCTCAAGCAACCTCTACATAAAAAACCTTATTGAATTTTTGTTCCTTGTTTGTTGTTCCCTTCTCGGAAGAATGATCAACGCTTACATCTCCTGCCTGTCCACGTTCTAAATCAAAATCCCTAAATACCTCCTGTTAATGATATTCATCTTAAATTCTTGAGATTCACCACCCAGTAGGTATCCTTCTATCAGATAATTTCATCCCCACTTCTCAATCGCAACTTCCTTTAGCATATCCGCAACACTACCTGGCACTTGTTGATAAATGACCACATCATTCTTTTTGCCGTTTGTCAAAGTTGAAGTCGTCGTAGTGTTTGCTGTGGTAGTAGTCGTGGTTGTTGTTTGGTTTTTCGTCGCTTCGGTCGCCTCAAGTTCATCTTTTTGACGCGTGTCCTCGTTCTGAAGAATCAAAGCTCCTGTACCCGTTACGAGAGGGATTAGAAGAGCTGCTTTGAATGAGTGATAGTTGCAGCAGTCGTGAAAAGCCTAGGAGATGTCATGTCATGGAACCTCTATTTTTTCGTCATTCAAACGTTGTAGAGGCCTTGTTTCAGCTACCCTGTACCTTCTAAATAGATCGATTGACTTTGATAATTCATCAACAAACTACAGTATTCTAAATAGATCTAGGATCCCGATAGCTGCATGAGTGGTCTCTAGTATCCAAGTAGGTCTTAAAAATACACACACAACTACCAGGTGCCACTAGATGAAATAGCATAACATCAACAAACCCAAAAATGTCATGGCAACGGACAAAGTTCCCGACTCCGAAGCTCCCAAAGCGAGCACTTTTTGATAGACCTCGCCGAAACGCACACTTGGATAGGCGGGTGTTTCTTCGGAAGTGGGTTAGAGACGAAAATTATCAGATGCAGAGTAATCTACTTCGAATAGCATTGAAAAACATTGAATGACCACGACCAATGATAAAGATCGAATGATTTTCTCTACCTCAACTACACAATCTCAACAGCATAAGGACTTGGAGTTGCTGCCTTCTTCGTTTCACCTCGAGCTGCCTTGGCCTTCTTCTTGTCATCACCACTGGCCTCGCCAATTCCACCTCCATGATCCTTGGTCTGCTTATAATCAACCTCAGCAAAAGCCGCATCGAGTGCTCTAGCCACCCTAGACCGCACCTCCTCCATTGACACTTCAGCCTGTTGGCTTAGTGCTAAGCCTCCTTCTTCACAAAATTCAATCTGTTGTCGCTCTTCTCGACGTTTCTCATTTTCTTCAACGTGCTTCGGCCCAACCTTCATCTCGTCTTGTGGTGCAGCAACAGCAAGAGCATTAATACTAGTACTGGTTCTCTTGTTGTTGGTCCATGAAGATGGTGTCTTCGCATTGTGTCCAGAATCATCACCATCACCGCCACCACCAAGTTCGTCTGCGTCCATACTCTCTTTTCCTAACACGGAGTCAACTCTTCCACCAGGAAGCCCATCTTCTTCATGGCCAAGCATCATGTCTACATCGTTATCTGGTTCGAAAGGGGGAGGATCGCCATCACCAAGACAATCGCCTACACCTAAATCTAGTCCTCCATCAAATTCGAAATCATCCTGATCCTCTTGATCTTGCAAAAGATTCTTTCCTCCATGCTTTTTATCTCCATCACTACCAAATAACGAAAACGGATCAGCATCTCCTACAAGAACCAGCGGCGATTTATCCCCAGCTCCATGTTGAGAGTGTAGAACTGCGTCTGCGTCTGCTCCACCATCAACTCCATGATTATCACCATAGGAAGTGTTTTTCAAAAGACCAGTCGCTTTCATTTTTAGAGCGCACCCTTATCCATCCTGAGGACCATCCTGGCCCCGCTTTCTCCTTGAAAACGTCTCCAAGATGCTTCCGGAGATGGATTACAGGGGAGGCCTTAACATTTTCATCATTTTTTTTGCTGGTCCCCCCAAGCCTAAGGACAAGAGCGGAGCCCCGCTGTCTTCGCTGGTTTGATCTGCGAACATGTCGTCTAGCATCATCTGATAGAAATCCTTCACCATCTCCCCAGTTACCGGTCGTTGGGTACCATCCTCGAGTAAGAGCATATTTGGTGCGTTCGGGTCGTCGCTGGGTTAGAGGAAGGGAAAGGGCAGCGTTTGTCGAAGAACATTCGCAAAGTTATTTGATCTTCGAAATAAAATACCAACGAGGACTTGAGGGCGTAACACTGAAAGTATGTAAATGAAGATGTCCGGGTTGTCCTTTATAACAGTAAAACAAAAAAGCTACCAACTGTAAAAAAGTCATAAACTCCATCCTCCAAGACAGCTGGCTCAACGTCATCCTCCAACACAGCTGGCTCAGCATCGTCATTCGTCCCTCCTGGAGCATCCTCGTCATCATCGTCGTCAAGCATTTTGACCTTGCTAGAGCCCTTTCGTGCTGCCCCACGCGCCTTCTTTTTCATCTTCTTGGGCTTCACCGGTGTTGCGAGAGGCGTTGTTACTTTCTCGATTACGACTCCGTTTAGAGCAGATTCTAAGAGGACGACAATACTGGTTTTTAATCTAGACTGTTTTAACCTTGCCTCAACAACATGATTACACTTCAATTTACAACTTCGTCATCTTTTTTTTTGTAGTGCGAGCGAGTTCCGATAAGTCAAAACCTACCTGCGAGTCACCCTTAAATCTTTCTCGCCACTCCCGTCTTTCACCAGGTCGCCACCCATATCACCGAACGTGAACTCGTTATGATCAAAGCCATCATCGACCACGTCCATCGGAATGAAGGGTTCCTCGATGTCGATAGGTGCTTCAACATCCACTGCATTGTCGTTCTTGTCCTCGGTCTTTGCATTCCCCAAAAGCATATCACTAAGACGAGGACTTGTCGTATTTACTCCAGGTACAGCGTTCTCGTTGTGGTCTGCTTTAGTACCTGATAATGGATCTAAGACATCTTCAAGATCAGCATTCTCGAAGTCTTTCGTATCCAATCTTATGCCCTCGACTTCCCGCAACAACGATGAGCGGGGATCGTAGTCCGGTGATGGTCCCCCAGCAGATAGTACCGCAAAACCGCCAGTACTGGGAAGTCGCGTTGAGGCGAAATCGGTAGCGGTCCCGGGAACAAGACACTGCTTACTAGGTGAGCCAGGTGGTGTGGCAAATCCCACAACATGTTGAGCAGGGAGTTCTTGTTGTACGTCTTCTAGATCAGCTGCAACTGCACAATCCATGATATCGTGGTTCATTGCGTCACAGCCACCTACTCCACCTTCGTGATCGATCTTCGCAGCAGTCGGTAACAGATCGGCTAAAAATTGAAGGCCTCCTCCTCCAGAAGTGGATGAAAGTATGCCCAGCCCAAGATCATGATCTTCGTTTTCGACGACAACTCGTCCTGCAGTGGGATCACACCAATTTTCTCCTGGAAACAAATTCTTCAAACCGTTCAACGTCGTTGGAAGCTGCTTACTGGTATTACTACTGCAGTTCTCATCGTCTCCAAACAAATTCGAACCTCCAAGTACACCTCCAAAAGAAGATGAAGAACGTTCTTGCTCGTATAAATCCATCTCCTGCTCACTAAACGAGAATCGGCGCTTTGTTTTCACCTCATCAGCATCGTCAGCAGCGGCGAAAATGCGCGTGTAGTGCAATTCAGGCGAAAAGTCCTTGCAAGGACGTGGTGGTGGTGTAGCTGGTGGCGTGAAGAGGAACTCATCCTTGTTGTGACTAGTTTGTTGCTGTTGTGGCTTTTCGACACCCTCAAGTAAATCCCCCTGGCCAACAAAGACGTCATCAACGTGGTCAGTACTATTTTCTCCCAACATGGAAGTTCTCAACGGCTTAGCCTTTTTGCTCGAAAACGGCAATCCATGAGAAGAATCTTCGATATTGCTCATCAGAAGATCGACTTCATCGTGTTGATCCCGCGTTGTGAGATGAAAACCCTTCTCCCCTTGCCGCGCTACTAGTCCATCCTCTCCATTCGAAGTTTTCGTACCAGAATCCCACAAGCTACAGCTTCGACTGGTCTTCCTATTCCGTTTCTGCACGAACTGCGATTGCATTGAGGTAGAGTCCCCATCGTTGACACCTTGGAGTCTCTCCAGCTTGTCGCGGTCCTGCATTACATCGTGGAGGTTGACAAAGCCAGCGCCAGCAGCAACATCAACGTCTTCATCGACATCTTCGCCGGGTTTTATGAACGGTGATGGAGCAGGATGCTGAATTGCGCAGGTGAGGTCACAACTACATAAGTACTTTCTAGGATCTTGAATAAAAAGCCTTCCATGTTGTGACCTAGATTTGCCTGTTAATATTATGTTTTTACGCGACTTTAACATTGGTCCGACCAAAGTTACATGAGTCAAGAATTATCCTGTAGCATAACATTCTGCCTGTCATTGTTCATCTTCTTGGCCACAGACAGCCCTTGCCCATCACCACCTATGCCACAGGAGCGTCGGTACTCTTTGAGGAACGGGAGGATCGCAGGATCTTTCGTTTCCATCGTGTCTGCGTATTTCGTCAGCCAAGTACGCACTTGTCGCTCAATGATCACTGCGTGATTAGAGGTACGATGAGCAGCTAAGGTGATGGATGCACGACTCCTAGTACGTACTAGCTAGAATTTTTGTTCCCCAGACGTCACACGCCAACGTGATGAACGGGAGAAACCACAAAACTCAGCATGTCAGTGAATCAAAACCAAACATAAAATGACCCCCACTGCCTCCTCCCGCCACAGCACCACCACCTTGCTCCACACCTTCCTCCACTTCACAACACCTTTCCCGCCGCTGTCTCTTCAACAACATCGGTCTACATTCTGAATCTGTTTGTAATCTGATCAACAAGTGCCGGTCAAAATGCGCACTGTCTAAGCAGCCTTCCAGAGGATCATGCCTTTCCGCAGACTGTCCAAACCACGCGTCTTTTGCAAATAAAGTCGACTCAGTCCGGTCGATATGGTCTTCGGAACGAAGGGGTGTGGTACCTAGATGGGGTTCGAATATACTACTGCGATTTCATCGAGTTCCTAAAAATGATAACGTTGTCACTTCCAAATATCTTAAAAAAAACAAGAAAAGATTAGCACCTATAATGTTGATCTTCGTGTTCGAATATACTACTGCCATTTCATGGAATTCCTGAAAACGCTGTTAATTCTGTCGTGGCGAAATGTACAACCGAAATAAAAAAACATTAGATTATACCATCAAGATTTCCCGTCTCCTGGCGCAGGTCCCACAAGTGGTTCAGGACGCGGACCAGCAACTGCATGACCGAATCTACTCGATAACCGTAAATTGTGCTTAGAAGAGGGAGTCAGACTATTCTGCAAGTTGATATATGAAGCTGCTTGTCATGTCATGGTACCTCTTATGTAGCTATTAGTGTCTACTCGTGAGGCCAACCAGTAAAGGAGTACTTATCTACCTGCTGGAAGGTGATACCGCTCTGATGGAACACACTGTCCACCATGGCCATGATTCTATACGAAGACGCAACGCCTTCTGGTGATTCATTCATTCATTTACCTAGCACGAGGTAGCCTAGAATCATAACTTCGATGCTGCTTCCAGCAGGTATGCACCTGTCGCAAGATCTGACTCCGGCAGACCAGCATGTCTCCGGAGAACTTCAGCCAACCGGTCTAAGAGGGATATCGCGAAGGCGTTCTTGGTGGTTAGACGCCCTGCGAAGAGTTTATCACGATGATGCGAATATACTCGGCGACTTGCCTAAGATTTCCCTGACGACTTCTACCCTACGAAGAGTATATAACGAATTGTAATTAAAAGATGTTCTCCAGATGATGTCAGAGTCGTGTTAATAGTATCTCCGGTTTATAACGAATTGTGTGGAAAAAGTGGACTACGTAAAATAATGGAGTATGAATTAGATTGTAGGTTATTTAACTTCACTTACCTCGCATTTAGAAGGACTAATCTTAAACGCACACACTGAATTAGGGAAGGACTACGTAAAATAAATTTGGACTAAAATCACGGTTGCTTTCTTGAGTGCAGAAATCCGAGTCGCGTGAAACAGGATACAAAATACCAAGGATACTAAAGGAAGGCCAAACTACCTCCTTGACACAGATCCACTGACTCTTTGAGAAGCTCCTGCAACAGCTCTGCCTTCGCTTCACTTTTGGAACCGTTACTGTTGGTCCGAGACCTGAGCACTGGACCTCCATGCAACACAGGATTTGACCCTCCATAGGGAGGGTTCGAACTCTTTGCTGACATTTCTGTGCTTTCGTTCTTGCGGTCTTCTTCTTTCTTGATCCTATCGAGACTGTTAAATCTTTGCTGACATTTCTGTGCTTTCGTTCTTGTAAGTAGCGGTCTTGTTCTTCTTTCTTGATACTATCGAGACTGTAAAAAATTTTCACAATCAGCCATGCAGTGTTACTTGCAATCCTTCTTTTCTAACTATGATATTGGGAAGTTATTATGAATGTCCAGGTTTGTTCACAGGTGCTTTCATCTCTATTTCTTTGTAGCTCTCTTTCACAAAACTTTTTTCGGTGTAGCCCTGCTTGAGGGTCTACCACTTTTCAATCCGAATTTTACTCATTGTTCTCTGGATTTTCGTTCTCTCTAGTCCGTCTTTTACCCTTTTTGCCCTCTTGCTTTTTTGACGTGCCTGGTGTCAGGCAGGAGAGAGAAACACAATAGTTCTGAGAACAACAGCACTACATGCTGATCAGCGTCACCAAGTTCACCTCTAGATGAGACTTTCCGAAGATCTAACTGGTAATGGATAACGCTACTCTTCGCAAAAGGTGGTACTAAAGAAACAAAATACCAAACTCCTTACTGTCATGTTGAAGATGGGTTGTGTGGGTCATGATTGGGCAGTGACCAAATACAGGTGTATCTTCAATAGGAGAGGTCGTGGTGTCATGATTACAGTCAGAACAAGAATCATGTATAGGGTAGTTATTATGTCGTTCAAACCAGCTTGCTTGTATGGGGTAGTTATTATGTCGTTCAAACCAGCTATGCAAGCTAGTCTCGGATCAAATTTCCTTTCCTATCCAAAAGCATATGTTTGGATCCTACTATGTCTGTCCGTGTGCGCTTATCCCACGCCGCATTCCGAAAATTTACGCGCGAGAACCTAGCATAGCCTTCACGATTCCTGACGAAAAGACCTTTCCTAAACAGAAAATCTGCCATGTCTTTATTCACCTGCACACAATTGTTGAATATCCCGCTATACTTGATGCGAACAGCAAGCATCTTTCGGAGATATTCGAAAGCACGGGCGCCATTTGACTTTGACGTACTGGAGCAGGATAGGCCGTCGATGTGCACATGATGCTGGGTCGTTGTGCACGTTGTGGAGAGAGGACCTGCTGTAACTTTTTCTCCCTTGCTAGTTGTAGAGGTGGGAAGAGTGGGAAGTACAGCCGTTTCAACGCTCGTATCCGGATCTGGCTTTACTCCTTGTGGTGCGATCATTGCCGTGATTCCAGGACCTTGAGGAGCAACAGAAGGTCCAGGCCCAGCAGCTTTGTTTCCATTCTCCTCATACAAGAGTGTTCTCCTCAACATACAACTTTGCCAGGCCTCTAAGTCGTCTCTTGAAGAAGAGGCAATAAAACCGATTTCATAGACCCTGCGAACGCGCATCGCACCAGCCGGCGAAGGCGGCACACCCAGCATCCAGCAGCGTTCGGGCTCCTTATGGCCCAAACAGTTCCTAGAATAGCGCTCTTTGAGACGAGATAGTTCCTCGCGGAATAAGGCACGGGAAAGAGCGACTTCGTCTCCCGATAGCTTGATGATTGTTTGCGTTTGGCTGTCGTTTTCAGGGTAGTAGTTCTTTTGGGATGACTGTTGACAACTTATCTTGTCGTTGGAGCAGTTCAACTTCTTTTGGGAATTAATATGGGTTGATAGTACTTTGCCGCTCTTGTTCTTGAGGAGGGATTCAGATTCCTTGCTGTAAACATCTTCACGTTCATCTTGAGGGCTAGCGCGATCAGATCGTCTTCCATCGTTTCTGTTTTTACCACCATTCGATGCTGAAGCTTCGGAAGCTCTAGCCCAACTTTTTGTCTTCTCCAAAGTATGGCTTTTTTTATTGCTCTCCAAAGTAGACGATCCACCACATCCAGCTCGGTTGTCAGCTCTGTTCTGAAGTCGTGCTTTCAAAGTCTCCCTAGCTTCTCGAACGCATTCTCTTACTAATTCAGCGCGAGAACATGGGTTCCGATTTACTACGATCCTAGCTCCGTTTTTCTTGCTGTCTAAAACCTCATAGTTGGTAAAGCCGACTTGGAGGGCCGTGTGAATATCCGACCTAAACTTCCTCTCGTATTCGACCACGCGGACAGCGACAGAAGTACCATCGAAGACTGAGAGGCCAGTATAAGGCTCGAGGGGTCGTGGGGGTGTCGTGGTACTACTTGTCGTTGTCGTGTTGACGGAGTCGGAGGTGGTACTGGGAGCAGAAGGGGCAGGAGGGGCAGTCGTGCATGATGTGGAAGCGATCGGAATCGAAGGCCCCTTGTGGTCCCCCATCAGTTTAGTCGACACCCCTTTTCCCCCAGCAGATGAACCATCAAAAGACCCCATCAAGCCTTCTTCCAGAAGTATCGCCCTCACAGCTTCTCGAATTTCTTCTTTGCTCAACTCCAAAGGCTTAGTATCTTTTTTCTCCAGACTTTCCTTCCTCGCGCGAGCCAGCTTCTTCGCTTTGTGGCGGTGTATCTCTTGTCTTGGAGTTAAAATACACCGCAACGGCGCAAATAGCCAGCCTTCTTTGAGGCAAAACATGCGACGCAGTAAGCTTCCACGGTTTAGAGACCACTCAACTTCAGCATTATAGTCTAGGATTCTGGTTTTCCGTGATTTCCCTCCTCTCGTCGTCCTGCGCACCTCGTCGCGTGGAAAACTGACACTTTTGGCTCTTAACAAAGGCTCTTCTTCGGGTCCAGCAGAACCCAGCTCACCTGCTTGCGGCAATTCGTCTTCTTCAAGTAGAGGATGCTTTGGAGTGCTTTCTCGTGTTGATGCCTCCACCTCTTCGTGAAGACCAAGAAGCTTCTCCTCCTCAAAGGTGCCACTGAGAGGTCGCTGTAAAGAATCAGGCTTGAGAGTCGCTCCAGGATGTCCTTCTTCTTCTTCTTTCCCTTCTTCAAGACCCCGATCGCCAGACGGATCAGTGCCACGATCTCCACGAATAGTAGTAGTAGTAGTAGCACTTTTTCGCCTCGACAAGGTCGCTGTCCTCTTTGTTTTTAACCGTGATGAAGATATTCTTGTAATTCTTGATGGAGTGGAACCTGGTCCTATCGTTGTACGACCTGTAGATTTCGAGAGAGCCTTCGATAGAGATGCTTTCGACAAAGTAGTTGTACTAGGGGCGGGTCCTCCTGAACGTCGAGACGCTGAGCGGGATATACCTCCTCGACCAATCTTCACTGAGGATGGCTTTTTCGTTCTAGAAAAAAAGTTGAGGAATGTTTTCTTTGTTGAAGCTGGAGGTTGTGCTCGTGCTTTATCAGGATCGAGGTCAAAACCGGTTCCATACTCATCACTGAACCTTGGCGTTCTCTCGTCTTCATCTCTGTAATCGAATAAAGTATCGAATTCAAAGTTTGTGCTTTCGCTAGTAGCGACAGACACACGCCTTCTACGAGGTTTCACTTCACCAAGACCGTTAGAATCTGGCTCTAGCTCAGATTGCTCAGAAGATTCGTCTCCGGTCTCCACATCAGCCTCTCCGCGAATGGGATGATCCTCCGCATCATCTTGACGAGAAAAGCTTCTTGATCTTGAGGAGAGTGGTAAAAGTCGCTGTTCTTCTTCGCGTTCAACTTGTTCGCGCTCACCACGGCGAACATTGGTGGAACCGTTGCTTCCACCTCCATCGCCAAAACCTCCATGACCGCCAAGTCTTCTCCTTCTTGACTGCGTACTTCTGCCTCTATTGAGAGACGGCGCAGCTCCTCTTGCATCCCCTCCTCTTTCATCCTCACTTGCATCTGAAGTTGTGGACGATGAGGAACGACTTTCTTGCTCATCCCTCCTGGTACGGCGTGTAAATCGGGCTAAGGGTCTAGGAGCGGTGTTTTCATCCTCACTCCGAGAAGATGAGGAGGACGACGAGGATGTCAATGAGTTCCTGTTGCGAGTTGGCATTCTGGCAGTCGACAAAAATTGTATTTGTAGTATCTAGAAGGGGATCGTGCTTGTTTTCGTCGAGCCAGCATTGTAGCATCTAGAGACCATAGGACCATAAGAAATACTTCAACTCACTACCTAGAAACCATAGGACTAGAGACACAAGAAATAGAGATAGGACTCAAACTACTTGTTTTCTTCCAAACGTTGAGAAATTTCTGAAGAAAAGAACGAAACTACCGCATACTCGTCTTTGATCATTTCTTATCAATATGAGTCTCATCTCGTCTTGTAGTTATTACAACTACTAAAGCAGTACTACCTCTACTAAGCAGCACTACCTCTACTATGTACTTACCACCATCCAATCAAGAGCTGATAACTACCCCCGCCCCAAAAAAGACCCCTTCAAGGGCTCTCTCCTGTTCGTTGCAAATGATCGATCAGATCAGACCTGCTACCTAAAAACGCTGCTCTAGTGCAGTTCTGATCGGGTGTTTTCTTGTGATGTCACGTGTGTCTTCTTGTGATCATTTCTTTGAACTTCTAGTCCTTCAGATCTTCAGTGCCGCTCTACTACAGAAGAAAAATATTAGAATTGGATCGGGCAACGAACTAGGCTCTACGCCATTGACACTTACTAACTTACACAAACCGATTTCCTGTGTCTCTTGGAAAGTCTTAGTACACTTGGATCACGCCGCCGATTAGTCTAGTGCCACAGGCTAGCGCAGCTGTTAAGTTTATTGAGTGATGACATCCCTGCGCTGTTATGTTTATGACGACATCCCTGCGCTGCTGTTATGTTTATTGAGTGCGATCGGCTTGTCTCGTAGAAGGTGAAGAAATGGAAGAAGGCGCTGAGACTGAGCGAGTTGTTATACAACGAGAGTACACGACCAGAGAGATGATAAACGAAAGAAGTAGAACGAAAAGACAGCACTAGTACGATAGCAACGCACTGTGAAAAAAGTCTCGCGAGATCGACAGGACACTGTTTTCGGATAAGTCACATCTCGAGTGTGCGTTTCGGATTTGTGTGGAACATGTGCTTAAAACATGGTAGAAGCTTCAAGTAAAAACAGCATGCGCGTCGTCTTGCAACCAGCGGCATTAATAGAAGCCGGGAAACTGGCACACTGTAGGATTATTCCATGTTCCCAAATTCTATCGACATCCATTAGGATTATATCATCTGTCATTTCGTGCGTTTCTTCTTCTTTTTCTTTCTACTTGGTTCACTGTGGCTCCCCTCATCTTCTGAATTGTACTGGTAGCGTCCATCGGACTTTTTTCTCCGTCTACTCCGCTTCGACCGTTTTTCGCCGCGTGAAGACCGCTTCTTCGTCCGACGATCGCTCTCCTCACTCATCTCGTACTGCTCAGCACCGCTGGACTCATCACTAGTTTCTTCGTCTTCGCATTAGAGGAGGAGACATGTCATAGTGAGACATGTCGCAGTCGTGGTACATAGGAGCCTTTATTACCTAGTGCCCGCAAGTGGTACAACAGGAGATCCTTGCTCGGACGAAATTCTTGCTCGGACCTATAAATATCAAGACACTTTTTTTGACATGCTGTAACTCAAGGAAACAACATAGCCGAGTGCCTTCTCTATGAAGGCAGTCAAATAATATACCAACCAACAAGGACCTCTACCTACTTACGACAAACATCAAGGTTAGGTTAGGTTAGGTCAAATTATCTATCACGACTGACAATATCATCGGTGGAGCACACCTAACTTACTAGGAAACAAAAATACAAAAGAATCAAGTAATCCAATTCTTTAAAAAAGAACTATAGTGGCCACGACTGACAATAAATATCAAATTTTTATCCACCTAAATATCAAATTATCCACCTAGTTATGAGAACGAGAAACATCCAATCCGTAACTTCTCTTATCCCTTCTAGCGCTCTCCTGTTGCATGTGAGAGATCTGCTCTATGAAGGTTTGGAACATGGCTTTCCTCTGTTCAGGATCCACCGCTTCCCACACTGGCTCATCTCTAAAACGCGCTTCAGCTTCACTATATTTCATAGAAGGCCCAACTTCTTTCCGTTCAGCGAGGAAGAGAACCTATAGTTGTGTCCGACGAGGGTCAAGAAACTTGCTTGTCTCCGTAGAAAATTTGAAAAAGACACGAGATGCCTGGCTGCCAGGAAGAAGGCCAAGAACGACAGCTTGCAGAATGCACCTAAGATGCTTAGCACGAATCAAGCAATTCAACCAGAACTCCCGTCCAAAAAAACAATAAGTACCAATCTCTGTCTAGCTTTCTTCTCGCTTTTTTCTGCTTTCTGCTTTTGTTTATCTGCTAAAGTCACTAAATCCTGCCACAATACTCGGGTGTGAACCGGATTGACGCGCTTTCTCCTCCGCAAAAATTCATGAAATTCGTCCAGGGTCGTCTCCCTGTGCACAGCAAACCCTCTGCCATTGGATTTTTCTGCCTCTTCGGCTAATATGGCCTCTACCCTAGCGCGGTCCTCCTCGAGTTGCTCTCGGATTTCTGGAAGATTTGATTGAGATTTGAGTTTGAGACTCTTCATCCTAATTGGAGATCATAGCTGTGGTGGAGCAGACCTAAAAAGAAAGACCAGAGGTAGTAAAATATGTAGTTTTGAATCCAGCAGACTGTCTCCTCCGTAACGGATAGCGGTGTTCAAACATCAAGGTACGTATATAACAAGTACCTTCCATATGTGCCTTAAAGAGCTCGTCCGGTTTGGAGCCGCTGTTGCCGAGCATATTCTCGTACACTTTCTGCTTTGTCAAGTCGTACCTGGAGGAGAACGAGGTTGGAGAAGGTGATTTCTATGCGATGACTACTCAGTCTTGAGGGCATGATCCCAATAGGGTGTGTAGTGATACCAAGATCAGAATTTCTCTGGAATATCAACATATGGAAACGGAAGAGGGCCTTCTTTCAACATGTGCTGCTTGAACATTTGAAATTTGTAACATTGCACCAGCAAAAAAAGGAGGTACCAGTTCAGGCATTCCGCCCAGCTGCATTCGACAGTGATGAGCTTTGCGTTGTCCGGCGCCCTGAGGTATTCTTCCTTCCCAGCATTTTTCCGTTCGGTTTTGAGAAAAGCGTCAGAGATTAGAGAAGGAGAGCGTACTAGAAGTAGTAAGAAGTATTGGACATTGCCTAGCCGTCAGGAAGTCAAGACCAATGAATCAATCTACAAGTAAAAAATTTACAAGGTGAAGTCATCAAAATGAACGTTTATCCACCGCATCATAACAATTGCTTGAAGTCTTCATTTTGACTGCATGTCCTGTCTTTCAACCACTTTTTAAACGCTGCTCTCGCGTCCCTTTCTAACCGGTATTTGAAGCTTCTCGCTTGTTTTTGCATCTTCTCCCCAGTCGCCTGTAAATAGCTCTGAAACGCGGACAATGCTTCTGCCTTCGTCAAACTGTTGAAAGTCGGGTCGTCTTTGTACTGCCTAAGCACCTCTCGCCAGGTGACTTGAGACCTGCGCAGGTCTGGGTTGTTCGAGAACTTCTCCTCCAGTTCCTTCAGCTTTTCTGCTCTAAGGCGTTTGCGCTCTGCGCGCTCTTCTCTTTCCCACTCCTCCTGAAATTCTTGGAAGACCTCGTCACGCTCGAAGTCGTCCTGAAGTAGATGAAGTTTTTAAGTAGACTGCGGAGAAAGATCTTCTGACAAGAAAGTGTCACAAGTGGAGGTCATAGTCAAATAAGAAGAATTTATTAGGAACAACCATTAGTATTTGTAATTGCAGTTAAGAAGAATTTATTAATATTATTGTCGCATCCGGCAACAGCTACTCTAATGCCGTACCTGCAAAACATGCCAACAGGGCAACGCTTGAAGGGACCCTGCTGCTTCTCTGAACGTCAAACCGCGTTTTTTCGCTGGATAATTCATTCTCAAGGCTTCCAGCAAGTCATGCCTAGCATGGTGCTTCGCTTTCCTATCCTGTTCCCTCTTCTGGATTTCCAGCCTCTGCGTTGTTTCGTGGAATATCTGCTTTCTTTCGCCACCACTTTCCACACACTGAAAACGTGGGTCGCTCTCAATGCCTGCTTTCAGTAATTCTTCCCACTTGATCTTGGTGTAAGTGCCAGAAGAGGAAACCTTCGCGTTAGGGTTGAAGGAACCAGTAGACGAGTTGGAGCTGACCCCTAATCATCCATCTTCGGAAGACTCTGTCCTGAGACCGTTCCCCTCTCTAAATGTATAAAAGGGGAAGGAACAACCATTAGGTTGTAGTATTAGCAGCTACAGTGGAATATGAGAATGAATAAGAATAGTGCAGCGCTTGATGAGCTGAAGCAAGAAAACCAGATTCGGACAACACGGTCTCAGGACAGAGTCTCCCGAAGATGGATGGAGGTTAGGAAAAGCCTTAAAAGAAGCTGACGCAGTTGCGGCTACGCTCTGCATCTTGGTTTCTAGAAAAAACTCCACTAAAGACGCGAAAGCACGCTTTCGTTCTTCTGGCGTTTTGAGGGTGGCAGGATCCACGACTTGATTTCGACTTCTATCCTCTGTCATAGAGGTGTACTCCACGGCTGCGGTGCTGGAGGAAGGAAAACCCGTTGAGCTCGAAGAAGCGGTAGGGAGAATATTAGAATGAGTAGTCAGTAGTACAACAATTAGATTGATCATTTTTCTATTGTTGTTACGTCGTCATGGTAATCCAAAATTAGATTAGGATAGGATAGGAACTAGACGATGGAATAAGTAATACTTAAGTAGTACAACAATTAGATTGATTATTTTGATTTTTGCGTTACTTTGACCGCTAAAAAAGGCTTCTGGAAACAACCGACTATCAAAACGAAACTTCTGCTTAATTAGTACATTCTAGAATCATCCTACTGCAAATTCCCATCAATCATAACACTCCCAGCCGGCATCTTCTCCCCCGTTAAAACAAACGCTTCCATCTCCGGACTCGAGATAATGTCCTCCAATGCCGGTTCGTCCCATTGTGTTGCATCCGTCGCCAAGTTGTGATAATACTTCCTACCACTGGCCTTGTCCTCGTACTCCTTGAAGAGGGGAGGCTTTCTCCATGTCGTGACCTTCGTGTCCAAATGGTAGTAGTATGTCTTGCCACTGTTGGGAGCGACAGCAGAAGCCCACTTTGGGGGCAAGAGTTCTTCTGTTGTGGAGGTGGTCATCCTTGATGTAGTTTTCGTAGGAGATTCCAAGTGGTAGAGAGAGCCAGCGCTGTCGCAGATAAACGTAGAAAACCAAAATGTCGCGGCAACTCCCAACTAGTAGAGTTTGATCTTCATCGTATACTTGGTGTACGCAGCATTTTTTCACTTGGAAGAGTAGCTAGTGCTATGTAATGTGCCAATATGATGGATCGCTTGGTCAAAAATACACAGCCGATAGGAAAACCTAAGGCATCACTAGAAAAGCTAAATGGCTACTCCCGCCACGTACGGCTCAAACTGGTATTCATATGGAATAAATATGAATTGTTCTACTCGATCGTTTACAACTAATGAATCGTTTCCTAATGATCATCGTTTCGTATTTGCATAAAAATGGTGAATAACAGGCTCTTGCTTCCACACCACATTCACAAGTCGAGATCATTCTTCTTTTTTCCTATTCTTCGTACCATCTAGGAGTCGGCCAGCATCTTTCTTGATCATGCTCACTGAGCCCAGCGACCTCCATATCAAGGATTGAGCACTATTTTTTCCCATTCGCATTTCGCCGGTTTCTTTATCAACATAGTAATCACGGACTCCTCCTTTCCGACCAGATCCCCAGTAGACCACAAAAAAGAACAAGAACACGTTTATTCTTCTGTAGAGTGCAGTGAACAGTGAGTGCTGTGGTCGCGCAGTATTTTATTCTCGCAGCTAGAAAACAAACTCACAATTTTCGTTTACAGGTAAGAGGAATCGCCTTCAGGTCCGTTCCTCCTGCAATTGTCGAGACCGTCATCAATCATACACTACGTATCATGTATCTTCTTTATCGGGAAAATTAAAATTCATGATACGAAGAGACAACGAATTATTCACTCTCTAGAAAAGTTCACACGACAACATTCTATCGTTTTTATAAGACCGGTGGAGCACGCCCAACTAGGAAACAAAAACACACAAAATATATCGTTTTTGTAAGTTAAATCCCCCTTTCTCCTTCCCGAAGATCCGCCTAGTCCCAACTCCCCATCCCCTGCGCCGCTCCCCTTTCATCCATTGGCGACGGCTTCCGTCCGTCAATCGGCACCTCTGTCACCACCACTTCCGTCGTAGTCAGAAGACCAGCTACGCTACTAGCGTCAACTAGAGCTGTACGCACTACCTTGGTAGGATCGATGATGCCAGCTTCGAACATATCCACAAAGCGGTCCCTGGAGGCGTCGTATCTGTAGAGAAGGGTCTTTGGTAGATCGTGTTGGAAGGGTCTTTGGAAGCTGTGGCAAAAGGATTAATACGTGGAGTAGAAAGGAAGACAGGCTCGAGGCGTGGAGTACACAGGAAGACAGGCTCGCCTCTATTTTACTTTGTCGGTTCTTAAATAAAGCTGGACAACTGGACAACTAGACAAAACCTGTAAATATGGAGTAGAAAAAGACTTTACTGCTGTATTATGTACAGGTCAATACCCCCTCCTCGCATCACCCGCTTCAATAAGTTTCTCCGCTACGAGACTTCCATCTTTACCAGCGTTTTCTACCAGCTGTTGGCAGGGTTTTCTTAGTGCCTTCCTCACAATCTCAACGCCGTAGAGTCTGTCCGCATCTGTCGCTGATAAATATTGCACCTCCTTGCTACTCCTACTATTTTGTGGACGTGCTGATTTATCTGCGAGACCAATAATACTAGTTGATTTATCTGCAAGAACATTAAAGCTCAGCATTCAAGGGTCATCATGACTCTGAACGGAAGGGACCCCCTTCAAAGCTCTCCCCTTTCCCTTCGTTTTCCCCTGTTCTCTCAAGGGGTCGCCTCTTCGATCTCAGTGACCAACCCCAATGACCATTGCAAGTTGAGCCTTAAGAACAGCTTTTGAAGATGCTTCAGTTTTCGCTTCATCTCCATCAGCAGAATTGTCATCAGATGGTGGAGTTGAGGAACTACTTGTCGCACTAGATCCGTCACTGCTAGTTTCACTGCCATCTTCTGCTCCACCAACACCTAGACTTTTCCGCACATTGCTATCGGCTAACGCAGTATTGATGGAATAGAGCAAGGCAGCGCCGCCACCAGGTACCACGCCCTCCTCTAGAGCACAACGGGTGGCACGGGTGATGAAGATGCAAAGGTAGAAGAGGGGGTCATGTTCTTGTTTCTTTTGTGCTGGGGTCTTCAAAGCTCTCGCTGAACTACAAGCCTAAGTGCAAGGGATCGCTTTCCCCATTTTGCATCGCAGTTAAAAAGCACTTCCTTATAAGAAAACAAGCCCAACATCAAGATCCACTTCGATGTGTATTCACACTTCAAGTCAACAAACTACTACTATCTGCATCTTCATCGAATTCATAAACAGAGCATCTGTTATTCGATCCCGCACCTCTTGCACCTCGACCTCGGATGCTCCCCCAACACGTATGACACCAACGCCGCCTTGCAATTTCGCTAGTCGTTCCTTCAACTTATCAGCCTCGGAATTAGATCTACCACAATCACATCTACCACAGTCACATCTTCCTTGGCCCCCCCTTCAAAATTATTGGCCAAAAATGAAATGATGTCGAGGATGCACTGTGCGTCGCCTTAACATACTCGGACACTACATTCTCCATGGCTGTTCGAATCTCTGAGCACCGTTCCTCTACCTCCCTTTTGCTACTGTTACCCTCAAGAAAGGTCGTAAAGTCTTTGCCGACGATGCGGAATTAGAGATCGGTACTCTTTTAACTCGCGAACTCGGTAAGTTGAGTCCATCAATACTGCTATCTTATAATTTTTACAAAGAATGCAGTTAGCTTTGAAGCGGATTGAAGCAGCGCTACGAATTACTTAAGTGAAGATAGCAAAACAAAGAAGAAGAAGTTATGCCCACGGCCATAAATCTTTTTACAGCTACCTAGATGATAGCAACACAAAGAAGAAGAAGTTATGCCCACGGCCATAAATCTTTTTACAGCTACCTAGATGATAGCAACACAAAGAAGAAGAAGTTATGCCCACGGCCATAAATCTTTTTACAGCTACCTAGATGATGGAGCTCTGCCGCTTCGAGCTTGCCACCGACGTCTTCGCTGATTACGTGTCCGCCTGTAAGCACCGCCAGATCGTGGAGCATACTACGTCGATTCTCTCCAAACCCGGGAGCTTGGATTAGAGGAAGTCCAGCGTAGGAGAGAGGAACGCTGTTACGATTGAAATGCTGATAGAGCAGTGGGGACGAGGTGAGGGAGGTGCAAGATGGTCTAGATACGACTCTCAAACTGCTAGATACGACTACACTGAACCCTGAGACCAATGAAAATTCAGATTTGAATTCAATCAGAGATCCTCTTCATCTACGTGCTTATCATAACTTAATAGCACACACATCGAGCGTTTTCCGCAGTTTGTTGACCACCAGCGCTGCTAAGGCTTCTCCCTCTACGTCTTCAGCGATAACCAATAGCGGCCTTTGGGTTTGCAGCACTTTCCCTAGAATCGGTAGTAGAGGTTGTAAGTCCCTCAATTTCTTCTCGTAGAGCAAAACTAAGGGCTTCTCCAGCTCAGCGCGACTTCCTCCACTACTACTATTCGACGCTGTAGCTGCTGTCGTCGAAATAAAATAAGGCGAGATGTATCCCCTATCAATGCGGCAGCCTTCTACGAGCTCTAGTTCGTGCTCCAAGGTGTTGCCATCCTGAATCGTGATATTGCCTTCTTTCCCCACCTTCGCAAATGCTTCGGCTAGCAGAGAGCCGATGACCTCGTCCCCATTCGCTGCTATTGTCGCTACATGCTTGATTTCGTCTGGGGATGAGATAGCTACAGACCGCTTCGCCAAATCCTGGAGGACAAGGTCAACTGCGTGGTCGATACCTGTGTGTTACGATAGTTGTCAACAGCAAGCGTATAATCGCGAAATGTGGCGAACTAATAGAAGCAAAGTATTTTTGAACACTCACTCCATGGTTTGGTTTTTGGTTTTGTATTAAATGATTTGATTGTCCAAAGACATGAAGATTATGATTCATCACATTGAAGACACATTACACATATGCTGGAGCAATTGCAACTCTTCAAATCCAGAGTGCGTAGAGGCCTTCAAAACACTTATACCTCTCTTCAAGTCCATCGGATTCATGTCTGCTGCTACTGCCTTACAGCCTTCCTTGAATATCGCTCGACCTAAGACGGTCGCTGACGTAGTGCCATCTCCCGCCATATCGTTCGTTTTTGAGGCAACCTCTTTCGCCAATTGAGCTCCACAGTTTTCCAGTTTGTCTTTAAGTTGTATCACTTTGGCTAGGAACTTAGAGGCAAGTCGTGAATTTGGGATAATAGAAGATGATATGAGCCGACCTAACTAGAAAAGACACAGACCTGAGGAAGATAATAGATGATATTCAGGTATTTATTCAGCCTCGGAGTTGGAGTCAAACTGTGTTTGTCTCTAGTCAAGAATAACCGAGAAAAGAAACGACAAGAAAACTTCCCTTATGTCCTTCATTCTCGAAGAAAAGGCTCTAGTCCCTTAAGACCATATAACCACCATCATAACTGACACCCCATCTTTGGTGATTTTTGGCGCCCCGTACATCTGCTCGATGACGACATTGCGACCTCGAGGCCCCAACGTCGCGCCCACTGCATCAGCTAGCCGATTCCAGCCTCGTGAGGTTAGAGGGTGCTACAAGGGGTTACGTACTAGTATTTCTCAGAGGGATTCAAGTCACTGTTGGATTCAAGTCAACCACGAGTAGTTCTAAATTTTTTCTCTAGACCCACGCAAAATCTCTAGAAGATTCTCTTCTGTTTTTTTTCTCTAGAAGAAGCTGAAGATCTACTCACGCAACCATAACAGTAGCCCCGTTCTGGCGTGAGTACTCCGCACGATGTCCTTCGCTGTGGAGAACGACCGTGAACTGGAAGACCCTGCGACATGTTGATACGAGGGGCCTAACATCTTCCTCTTTGTGGGCAGCCTGTGCCTGTGAAACTGAGGATTTCCACGCCCTGTGAGAACAAGGATTAAGTCGAAACTGGTTCGCTAGCTGCACTCGGCAGGCCCACTAAGAAAGAATCAAGGACCTTCTGTAGTAAGTAGGTAGGAGAACCAGTAAGAAACACTGTGAGCAGAGAGATTGATTGATTGATTGATTGATTTACCTATTCGCGAGGTATAGAGCGTTTTCTAGATGTTTTTCTAGAACAGATGGAAAAAACAGATTCAATGATGTTGTCCCCCCAAACCTCCGAATCGCTAGACCGAGTAACCAGAGCAACACCAGTGTTGGAAGAATGATAATGAATAGCAGTAACTAGAGTAACCTCATCTCACCTCATCACTCCAAATTCACCTCTCATAATCTTCACTCGCGTCTCCTCGTCCTCGGTAAAGGCAAACATAGAGGTTATTAGGAAGATAAATGTGACGGACATCCATCTGAGCAGACTCTGTGCGTCATCCGACGAAAAGCCTGTCGTGTCTTCCAGTAGAAAACATACCGTAAGTCTTCGACAACGTCTTCGACAACGCAGAGGTCGAAGAATTTGTATCTTTATGCTACCGCAGTACCAGTAGCTAGTAATCCCATGTTGATGTTGATTGTGACGCGTATATTGTTTGAAAGAGCCTTCACACTGTCTCTGTCATCAAAAGAACTAATCCTTTAGTCCTTGTCCTCGACAGCAAGGAAAAAAATCACCCCACTTTTTTCCTACTTGTCATAAATGGTCCTGGAGGACAGAATACCGCCCCACTTCCGTTCTTTTGCTAGGTCATCATCGGTGACGAATAAGAGGAGCCTTCTCTTGTGAAGCTTAGGCGCTTAGGCGTGGTCACCTTGATGTTGAAGATGACTTCATTCTTATTTCAACACCCCTCACTTGATGACACCCGTGGTCGTGAAAAGTACAAACACAGTTCTCTTTATCTACTTTTCTTCGATGTGATGACAAGATGTACATGAAGGTGCGCCGTAATAAAGTTTCTGTTTCAATAGTTACAGTAAATTATTCCCGATTTTTTTTTAGATTCATTGATGAATGCTAAGATCATAATTCCTACTTAGTACGATCCATATACGATTACGAATTAGATTGTTTGAATACTTACATGTGACTTGTGATGAGTGAAAGTATGCGAATCGAATTGTTGTTAATGCTGAATAGTAATATGTGCTGAACTTTATGATTGCTCCGTGATTGGTTGTATGAGTGTTTGCTTGATTTAGATGCCAATAAGATTTTGATTGAAGAGTTTTCTTGTCGAAGATTAAACTAGTCACGATATCTTGGATTTACGTCAAATATGTCGAATACGTTGCTTGTTCAATGAGAATGAATATGCGGTTTGTTGCTCATGTTAGATCCTTTTCTGTGCAATAATGCTGTCGTTTGTAATTCGATTTAGAAGATGACTCAATATTGATGTGCTAAGAAATCGGATCTCTTCCTTGTTGTTCTTAAGTGTTAACATGAGACCCCAGTGACGCTCTAGTACCCTCTCTTTCTCGAGCAACACGAGAATCCATGTTTTGGAAAACTTTACCCCTCCTTTAGCACCGACTACAACACTGGGAATAGATGCTCGTACACAAATCTTAGTGTACTCCTACACCAATTTCAGTGTACATCTCCTACACCAATCTTAGTGATGTACTCCTATACCAATTGTAGTACTGAGTAACTTACCCCCGACCCTTTCCACCACGACCCATGCATCGAATTCTACCCATTACCTACCACACTTCACCCATGATTACCTACCACCATTCCCCTACCACCTGCCATTATTGTTCCCCTACCACCTGCCAACATTCCCCTACCACCTGCCATTATTGTTCCCCTACCACCTGCCACTATTCCCCTACCACCTGCCACTATTCCCGCCCTACCACCTGCAACAATTCCCCTACTGCGTTTCATCCACCACTTTTCCCCACCACCTAGCCTCTACCACATTGTACCTAGCACACTGCCCCTACCACCTGCCAACCTGCAGACCACACCACAACCTACCACATGTTGACCTATCACGTATCCTCGTATGACAGGCCTCCACCACCTACCACGCCTCCACCAGATTCCGCCACCTCTGGAACCCTTTCCACTCTCCGATATTAGAGGTGACCTACAAATAAATTACACAGATTGTGAAAAAAACGATCGAAATCACATTGAGCCCTTATCTCAATAATGGACGTTCTATTTTTCCATGAAAATGGGAGTCCTTATCATAATAATGAGGTCTACAACCTAGGACTCTTTAAAGTCTAAATTTTTCTAGATAGAGTGGAACTGTCTAGAAGACTTCCACGTACCATAATAAAAAGCCGACCTTTCACCTCATTAGCGGCCGCTCGGCTCGCCAGGCTTGCAGCAGCCTACGCAGCCTGAGCAGCCTTCCTCGTTCGGATTGTTGGGGTCGACGCCCCTTTGCACCTCAGGTGGGACATACTCATTAGAAAAGAGGTTGATGTGCCTGCAACTGAGAGATTGATTGAGCTAACAGACGGACACCTCCTTGGACAAACAACATGGGGATGTATATTTTCAGGGGGATACCCATTACGGAGCAAGTAATGGGAGATATTCATTAGGAGCAAGGTAACTATAATCGACAGAACAGGGGGATTCACAGATGACGTCGATTCGCCGAAGAAGGCCACACTAAGGTTAGGCTAGGTTAGGTTAGGTGGGGGCCCGCCAGAAAAACTAGCAAGCTTCACTAGCAAACTAGCAGCTCAGGGTAGGATCCTCCAACATATTTGCGCCTTAACCTGTCCTTCGCCTTCACCTTCGCCATCTTCACCAGGTTGAGATTTGCCCTTGTCTTGTTAGAAGAGGCATATTCTAGGCATCAAAACAATACTTTTATTTACGAAGGTCTCTTTGCAAGAGCAATTTCCCTAGTCGAAACGAACCATCAAAAACAGTCAGCTGTAACCAGCTAGAAGTAGAGTCCGATGTTCGAGCTGAGAATGTAATTCGAGCTGAGAACATTTTTGAAAAGGAGGTTCTCGAGGACATTGCACCTGCCTCAGATGATCATCTCCAGCCTAGTGCTGCTTTTATTCGAAATCTACTAGAGTCTACAATGGAGGTTCTTGAGATCACACCGTAAGAGGATCGCTTCTTTCTGGGGACCTCATCTGCGACCTGCCCTCCTCCTCCCAGTGCGTCATTGATTTCCTTGAGATCCGCAGGAGACTTCCTCGCGCCTGCCTTACAGATAATTAGACATATTCTGATTAACATACGATGTGGCTTATTGGAAGTCCTCCAAGGAAATCCGTGATTTTTCTACTTGTCGGTGAAGGAGGGGTCGCAGGAGGAAGTAAGACGAGACGCACGCTCAACCCGCGTTCACTCAGGTACCAGTCATATGACTTAAACAGAGAGACTGTGAATGTGCCTTCAAATTCAAATATTCTAATCAAAGTATGAGTGGATGAATTAGTGAATGAATTTGCCTAGCATGAGGTGTTCAAGAGCTTCAGTTGACGTAGCTTTACTCGAAACCCTGAAAACTAAGCACTGGAGGTAGTAGCTGCGTAGCTTACACGTGGAAGCGAAGCAGTGTAAAAAAAAAAAGGGGAACAGCATTGTTAGTAGAAGAAATAATACACTAGTATTGAACAGGAGGAAATGCAATGTAAATGTCCCAAGAACCTCCTTAGAGAAACGAGGAAAGGAGATTCGGGATGCTCTTCAAATACGGACAGCCCATCTTGTAGGGTTCTAGAGAGGATGATGAGCTCTTCTAGTTCTAGAGAAAGACATCATATGTAAACTTCTAAACGATCTTTATATAGATTTACATTGTAAAGTTCTAAACTTTCACATAAATATGTATGTTGTAGACATCTAGTTCTAAACTTTCACATATCATAACATCAGTAGACTGCAAGAGTTGTCCTTAGCAGGAACTGGCAGGCACATACCCGCAGAGTACGCACCACTGCTGAAGCCCACACTTTTATAAAGCTTGCACTCCTCACCCGCTTGCTTCCGAATTTAGAAAAAAAGACAAAACAAAAAAACGGTCAGTCTGAAGACATTAGTTAATCGCTGGATAAAAGAGAAGTTCTTGTCCTCCTACTTGTAATGATTATATGTCATGTGTCCCCGATGTCTGTGGCCTTTTTTTTTGGTATCCTACTGGCTACACGCCCGAAACATTTAAAAATTGGACGAGAAACCGGTAAGCCGCCGGCAAAATCTACACCTACCAAAGTCAGGTGAGACGCCTGACTCATGAGATGACTCATGATCTACCAAGTCACCTTTGGGACGAGTAGCAGTAGTAAATTGATTGGCAGTAGGGTTAAAGTCGAGCCAGATAGTAATATATTCACAATCTAATATGATCATAAAGGGACTAGTAGTAGCATAACTAGTAAATAATAATTGACAGTCTCTAAAGGAGCAAAGTATTTGTATTGCCTGTTCATGAAAGGATGTTAAAGGCTGACTGACACCTCTTTTTTGAAGTAAAACAGCCGTAACAATGGACTTCCCCGGCTGGCACCATGTATAGATAGATATATGTATAGATAGATATATGTATAGATAGATAGATGTATAGATAGATATATGTATAGATAGATAGATGTATAGATAGATATATGTATAGATAGATAGATGTATAGATAGATAGATGTATAGATAGATAGATGTATAGATAGATAGATGTATAGATAGATA